TCGACTCTGTAATATGCTTTCTGAAAGTTATTTGAGAAAAAAAAATAATCTACGTGTTTTTTGAAATAAGAAAAATCATTCTATGATACTGAAGATCATAATAAAAAAAAATAACTTGGGGGCTGCAATGGAAAATGTTTTTTAAGATATTTTTGAATATTTTCTTCGTAATCATCAAATTGTAGCAACTTTAGGTTTTTATATTAACAAAAGGTGATATTTTTGATCAATGAATGTCTATTTTATTTGAAACATGTAAACTAAAAGAAAAACAAACAAACAAAACGTATAAAGTAAGATAACATACAATTAAGATTCTCTAAAGTTTGATAAAAATAAAAATAAAAATAAAATGATTTTAAAAGATTTCCGTTTTGTGGTGGAAGACGTCTTTCTGAGACCGTACTGTATTACAATGCCTTCATTTTCCATTATTTCCATTATTAACGCTAACAAACACAGATTGAAATCTGAAGGATGAAAATGAAATCCAAAATTTCTGTTTTGTTTGATTTCTTGTATTCCTATCGAAACTCATTCTTTCCTAAATTTATTAAAAACTAATCACAGCCAATGTTTACATTCTATACATGTACTCTCTTAACTTTAAATAAGCAATAAGATCAGAGGTTATTCTAAATCTTAATTGAACTTCCTTTCTGATTTATGCACGTCTGTTTTGTTTGTTTGTTTGTCTGTTTGGTGTGGGGTTTTTTTGTTTTCTTTTTAACTAAGAATAATTCAAATAAAATGTCCATATGTCCACATAGGTAAAATATGATGTATTTACTTAATCATCTGTTTGCATGTGTTTTGTAATTAATTAAATAAACATATATCTGTTTATCAATTAAGCATTTTGTTATCATGCTAAGTAAACATTATTTTGAGGTTCCACTTGTGTATATACATGTATTTAGCATCACTCTTCCAACTTGTAACAACAAATCAATATTTTACACTAGAAAAAAAAGTTTATATATATCTTATTCTAAATATTGATTTCATTTCAGTTCCAGTCAGATTTTAAGAAAATTACATGTATTTAAAAAAAAAAAATAACAGTGCATACGATCTGTAAATAATTGTTTTCTAACTTCCCCTTCTCCTTTCTCCGTTGAGGATCATGTTCAATTTAGTAAAACTCTGTGGTGAATAATAATAAAATATATCAAAAAGAATATGTATTAAACATTAGTTGTCTTTGCCAAAAATAACAACAATTGATTTTTTTTAAAGTGTAATATTGTAAATGTGAAAGTAGATAAAGAAAGAGATAAACTCACATATGAATTTCTGCTAGATGTCTACTTGTTTAGGTAATACAAGGATAACCCTAGAATTGGATGTATTCATAGTCATTTCCTTTTCTTGATAAAGTAGATAAAATTCTGGTCGTATACATATTGTTTTTGGTGCATATTTGCGAAACTGATTAAAGCATTTCCCTTCGTTACCTAATTTAGAGAACACGAGACACCGCTTTCAGAGTCTTTCTGGCAAAGTACAAAATATTTTAAGTACATGAATGTAATTAGCTTGAATTTCCTCTGCTTTTACATGTATTTATACATCAATATAAAGTAAAATCCGACATTACATATGTAATGTCAGGGGCACCTATGTACCAAGTATTAGCTATACAGAAATTGATTTATGATGGAGCTCTGCTCTTTCTCCTGAATAACACATTTTCCATTCTTATATCAGCAATAACACACTTTTAATATTTGTATCACTATGCTTTAATTTTTGTTGAGTAAAAGTACACTTTATTATAAAGTTAATAATAATAGCTAATTTGAAATCCGCGTTCTAATTTGTATATACTACTGTTTTGAAGATTCTATGCACTGAATAATATCAATCAATGAACTAAAAATGAGATAAAATTCATTCGAGCCAATCATTGATGATTGTAACTACGCAAAGTAAAAGACATTGACGTCGGAAAAAATAAAATCGAGAACGTTTTTGTCGGTACAAGACGATACGACAACAATCTAGTAGCAAGTTTCATCAGGTGGCAGAGAGTTTTACAATGGTGATAAGGATTGAGAGAAAAAAACAAACAATTTTTTGGTTACTCCTTTTATTCATGACATCATCAAACATTGACCCCCTTCCTTAAAAAAGAAATGAGTTTAAATAATTTGATTTCGCAGTCCTTTTCATCTAAAACAAATAAGATCTGGTAGCTGTGTCAGAAGTTTCGGAAGCACTAATTAAATTTAGAATAATGTGACACTAGACACAGTCTTCTAGTTTGAGGAACTGCTATAACTGTACACGATTCGTTACCTCAGACTGCACACCCTTTGTTTCATTTCCGTCGTCATTAAAGTGAATAGTTTATATGTAATAGGCAACATAAGGAGTGGAATGTACTCTGTGACTGTACCGAGGGTGACCCCAAAAAACGGTCGGTGATATAATGGAATTTATCATTAAATTAAGGAATTGGTGCCTAATTTCACTAACCTACAGAAAGGTTCACTGCAATATAAATCGACTTCACTAAACTGAATCTCTCTTACTAAGTTTAAAACGCTTTATGTTAAATCTGATATTGTTTATTTACATTAAGAGTATTTCGGAGGCAAATAGCCAGAGGAAATTTAAAAAAAATCTTTTTCCCGTTTCTTTTTTAATTTGAAAATAATGTTTTTCATTTATTTTGTTTGATAGATTAAATTTACCTATGTATATATCCCAGAAAGGAGGGTTCATGAAGCATTGAGACAATCTTTATTTATCAAAATCAATAGCTTTCAAAGTAAACAATCACCTGTGGCAGAGCAAGATACTTCCCACTGTCAGACAGTTTCACCAACTATGTGTGTATTCGATACAAAACTGAAATAAACACATTTAAAACTATCAAACTTTTAAAACATTTCGATAGATTTTTTTGGGCAGGATTATATCCGAAAACAAGAGAGGTTTATTTTGAGAGTTAAAGGTTCACCAACAATCACTTTTCCTCGGGAACAGTAATACATTTCAATTACAGCACTGCGGGACTATATTACAGCACTAGTAGTATTCTTCGAAAATTTTATGAATGAAACTTAAAAACTACAACTCAAAACATTTATATTTCTTTTCAAATGTCAACACTGTCAGGATCGGGGGTCTTATCACGTTAGACTTGGCGCCATCGTGCTGAGAATTCAAATTAAGCCGAGTTTTACAATGTTAAGCAAGGTTAAAATTCGAACGAATTTATCTTTCTACCTCTGTCAAATTTTGGTAGACATTATTATTTCTCAAAAACTTGAGTTTGATTGTAGGCGTAGCGGGCCGTTATTGCCAGGTCGGTGAGGGGTTGGACATTGCATTGGGGGCACGCTGTGCTCAAAGATATCAAAAAGTTTAAGACTTGGAATTATCATTAATTAAATGGGAAGCCCTTTGAACTTACATATTAACCATATCTTTCTATACTCTATCCCTTTTACCTATAAGTAAATGCTCCGATTTTGATTAATTAATACATTATTGTTGTTCTATATTGGATGCGCATGTACAGATCATCATAATTTAATCATTATTGAATAACAACAGTGTAAATCTTTATTCTATAAATACACGTATATTACTTATAAATATATAAACACTCATATTGATTTCTCTTCTACCCCTTTTCGACGTGAAGGCAATTGAAAGGCTGAGCCAGAGGATTTTCTTTTTTCTCTACAAATTGAACGAATATATTGCATATTTCGTTAAGGACTTAACGTGGAGAATAGAAAATTTATTTATATTTTTTCGTGGAATGTCAATCAAATGTCTTTTGAGATTCAAGATATTATCCTAAAATTTATATCCGCGAACTTTTTTAAGTTAAAGATAATAGTTGCAAGATAATAGATTTTTTTCTCAATATTTAAGCTTTAAAAAATTCTTCAGCTTTTTAAAATTATGACATAAAGATTTAGTAAGGGTCTGACAACATTTAAGATTATTTCCGCTTAAGACTTGATGTAAGATCTATTGCTCAGACAGATGCATGCTCCTTACCAATTATCTTGGGGTGATAAACGAGGCTCCAAATCACATGCGTCTGGGCCTGATTTATTTTTCTATATACATTCTGATATGTATTATTTATCCATACATAATATTACGTTTTCAGATTAACATAAATTATGTGCTTAATCATCAAATTCGTTGCAAGTATTATTTTCATGCATTCCTTTGGAATTGTTTAAGGATTTGAAAACCTTACTTAATGGTATCTTTTTCAATCACAGAACATTAAATCACAATGTAATCTCGTATATTTAACGGTCTAGGTCATGTTTACTGTGTTAATATCACCAGGATTTTATGCTTAAATTGAAATACAGTAAAATAGTACATTTGTACATACATGTATTTTGTTTGAGTGTAATATCAATTAATTTGTGTTTTGTAATAATTTAGAAATAGAAATACATTAGTTGCATGAAAAAATCAAATACATGTATTAGATAATGTCATTAGAAAAATATATCTATCTGCACTTCTTTGCATATTTGAAAAAATAAATGTATAGATTCTGTAACAATCTTTACTCAAGTTTTCTTGATGGTATCTGGACTTTTCGAACCTCGTAACGAGAAGATGAAGATACATTAGAGAATTGAGCACGAAAAAAAGTGATTCCTAAATAAGACCGATTTTTCTACGTCAGGCTAATTCGCTTTAGCAGAAATCTAACGATGGCCATATGCGTATTAATTCAATAAAGAAAATACGAAACCATGGCAATATCCCAATTGATAGTCATGCTTGGGGAATTAAATTGTTTCTCTTTTCGAATTACGAACCCAATCAATACAATTATCCGTGTATACAACTGTCTGAATGATACTAGGAATGGTGACGTCGGCTGCACAACCAATCAAAATATGACAGCGTTGATCTTTAATTAACCACTCTTGTTTTATAATTATCACATAGCTTCATTATATTGACAATAAATGCGCCAAAAATCACAAGAAGAAAGAAGGCAGTTCGATAAAAATTTGGTGCGTTTATTAGGTTTCTACACTCCTCCCATTTTGTACATTTAACGACTTCGACATACAGCGCATTTTGGTTTGTTGATTTCAAAGAAAACTAAATACAAAAAGACAAAATCTTTTCCTCATTATCCTTACTGTTGCCATTGATTTTCAAACATTTGCCAACAAAATGTCATAAAAGAATGTTTTTGAAAAACATATATACCATTTAGCTATCTGAAGTCATTGAAATGATAAGATAAAATTAGTTAGCTTGTAGTAATTCTATCCAGCATTCGCTCAAGACATGTTTGCCATTGAATTCTACGATTCAAAATTGATGGAAGTCATTAAAAAAAATGAAAACATATCTTTCAGACACTGGAAAAGTCCAACTTGCAGACATCAAACTTGTTCACCGGCGGGGTGCTGTGATGTTCTCTTGACATGGCTGAGCTGAATTTTGATCACAACATTCAGTTTGAATTTTCTCAGACACCAGTCACTAAACCAACAATCATGTATTGCACGGAACACAACCGCTCAATCGCATACCCTTCTTCTTTCAGTTTCCGGAAACATTTTTCGCTCTGTTCAGTGTTTAATCGTCAGTTTTTCAGTTCCGACGCCCAGACATGCTGCGGCCACCCTGTCCGTCCTTTTGACTTTTTATCGTTGTTTGTGATCGGGCTCGTAGATTCTGAACTGGAGCTATCAGAAGCGACCTGTAAACAAATGGGTGTGTAATTAGGAGAGTAAAGTTAATAAGCGAGATAAGTTGGTAAATGTATAAGAAATAAAAATCAGTTTTTGTAAGTGGGAATGTTGTGTCAGATGGTGGCATCATTATATCACACTTAAAACTGTCGTCTTAATTTTTATAATGCCTTCCTAATCTCGGTTATCGTTTCCTAAGGAGCAACATTGTCCCTAATTGACTTCTATCATACATGTCTCTCTCCAGAATTTCTTTGACCCAATGATTTTATCTTGAGGTATACTTCTTGGGTGATCTAAATTCTTGCAATATTAGAAAATATAAACCTGAGTATAAAATTAACTTATATTTAAAAAAAAATGACACAAATCCCAAAACAGTTTCAAAAAAGAAAAAAAAATGATTGCATGATTCAATTAAATATGTAAAAGAAAAACAGATGCTGGAACAAAATGATTGTTCTTTGGAAAAATATATAACTGGTTTTGGAATGCAATTTTTTCTGGAGGAGGAAAATGCTGGAAGGTTACCTTCTGTAAAAAAGCGTACATTGAACATAAAGGTAGATTAAACAAGGACGGAACAAGAAAAAAACTAATTATTGTCGAATAGTATTGAATTGATATAACTTTTAGGAGAGAGAAAATGAAAAGCATTAACAAATATGACTTTTTTTTATTGTGTTCTCTGCTTTCAACTTTCATTTCGTCATGCATTCTGCTACATGTAAATGAAAAATGAAAATACATAATTTGTGTACGAAACACTAAGTTTTAGATTTTTATTCAAGATTTAAAAGAATAAGATGCTGGGTCAATAACTGATAAAAACCAAAGCGCTAATTCTATATAGATGTAGAGGGGGTAAGGCTATCATTGTCTTATAGATGCAAAGATAACAGCTCAATTTTAAAAGCTTAAAAATATTGACTCTCGTCTATATCCACTTGGCTGGTGGTCTCTTAAGCGCCATTTATTAGAGTTCTTTAGACGTCTAGGTGTTCGAAACATTTTCGAAGATCATATCAGAAGTTTTGACAGACTTTTAATTATTTCTTCAACTGAGCGAGGTTTTAACGCCGAAAATAAAAGTCGTGAACAAGTGACGAAACCTCGCTGTTCATAGATTTCTCAGAGATCGCCATACTGTATGACATTTTATTTTACATTAAGGAAAAAGCAAGAATGGCATGAAATTGTGTAAGTTTAAAACGATAAAATTTTCACATTTGATAAACATACATCAATCATTTTCACTATCAAAATGTGTACTGTTTATCTGAACAATTGTTTTACGCGGCAAAGATTAGTTTCTCATTTAGACAAGACACGTTGAAATTCCAAGACACGTAGTAACGCAGCGGGCACTTTGCTGATATCCCTACGCCAAGCCTGATAACGCCCATATTAATGTTCAGTAAAAATTATAGCAACTAAAAATTCAATGACCTTCATAAAAATTATTTAAATAAAAAAGGAGGAAAAAGCAAAACATCCAAAAACATAATTGTAACAAAATTACAGGGCTATTTTAAACGATTGGTCCTTTTCTTGGGAGAAAGAAAAGGTTTTTTTCTTGTCCCCAAACTTTTTATGGGTTAGAAGGATATCCACTCACTTACAATTTCATGCAGGTGTGATAATTTTGGTATCAGTATCGCACTATCTCTTGTCCGATTCCACGGTTATGCAACTTCTAATTGCTTTATCAGCCTCCGAAACCAAAGAGTGTCTATAAAGGGCGATCAACGTGTCAGATTCAACCTCGAAAGATGAGTTCGAAGCGAAGACAGATTCATCGAAGACCTCCGCGAAGATTTTTATACAAGTAACGATAATTCATACTAAGAGCAAACTCGTGACTTTCTCTTTCTAAGACTTCATTCATAACCTAAATTTAAGCATTCGTCTTATCGAAATAGCGTGCGTATTGTTAATTCAGTGTGAGGCACATCTCTTTTTACAGTACTTATGTTCAGATTTATCTGTGTGTAAAATTGTAATTCATTCTCTGTGTATTATTTATGTAACCTTGCACTGCACGTGTTTCAATTTCCTTGAAAAGATCGCAATTAAATTTATGTTAATATTATCTTGCAATCTGTTTGAAGAAGACGGGGATATATATTTATGTGAAAAGAAATAGGCCTCCGTTACTTCATGTGTTATCAAAGGTCACGGGACAACGGAACTTTAGCATTCACAGAACAGATGGACAGATTTAGACTTAAAATTTTATACTCAATAGCTCCCAAAACATGGTCTTATAGAGCTCAACTCATAAATATATCGATGTCAATAAAGGGACTATCCATGTCACGGAAAGCCTAAATTCCAAACCAAGTCGTAAAAAGATAACAGCAATTAGTGTAATTCAAATTGATACATGTTAATTTTCTGGGGAATTTTCGGAAATAAAGAAAAAGTGAATAGGATGAGCAATTCAGTTGTAATCGAATTAAGTTATGATTTGCCGGAGGATAAATTTGATGTGCATGGAAAAGCGCCATCGATGGAAGTCAACAAGCATCCAGCGGGGACCGATTATTGAGGGAGCAATCACGCGATCGGACGCGGCTACCCGCCAATCACATGCACCATCTCCGCAAAGAAAGTACAACAGCAAAGAGAATTCTAATTCCCATTTTCCTGATGGAAAATTAATTTAACAGTGTTTAAATTGTTTTATTCAGTTAACTGTATACATATTATAGTCGCAAAGTGGTTGAATGAACAAAAAAATTGGGGGCGGTATGTTTAAAACAGAACTGATAAAATCTTGAAATAACAAACATATTCAAGATAATTGTACAATGTCAACAACAGTGCAATGATATAAATGTAACATTGTGTAACCATGATGTATGATGACTACTGTATAATATTAAGCGCTCGGAAGACCTTGATCAGTACCGGAACACTAAGTAAAGTTCCGGTAATGGAATCCTGTTCCCATGTCCAGTATTATCTATGTCAATGATACGGTAATTATTTGATCTTATTATCTAATTATCTCAAGAGTTCCTTAATTATGCACTGAGTGGAGATAAAGTGCCTCGAATACTGGTGATTATTGTGGTAAGAAGGCCATCCTTTGCTTTTCATGAGTTTCGAAGTGGTTTATGTTCAAAGTACTTGGGAATTAATAACTCCATCACTTTCGCAATGTAAATTTCATTATATTTAATATCTTCTTATAAGCATTTTAAACATGTGTTGATTTCTGGGAAAAAAAAACATGGTACAAAACATTAGGATAAAGCTGCAAGTATAAACTTAATCAGTAATGTAACTATTAAACAAATGAAACTGTGAAAGACGTCGTTTAAATTAGTCAAACATTTGTTTGAAATTTTTCTACAATGTGTAGACTAAATATTTTCTTTTTTAAAAGCGACAGTTTAATCAGAAGTCCCAGTCAATTTCTTTGTTCTCTCTTTCTCGTCTGTAGAAACTGATTGTAAAGGATTGAGAAGCAAATGGTTCCAAACGAATGAGTAAGATCTGGTGGATTTTGTCTGGACCAAAGCAAGTTCTATCAATCATATACAGAAATTATATGGCTTAACAAACTCGGAGAGACAGTTATGATTCTTCCTTACATACTTATCTTCTCCATTAAATCGAGCTAAAAGCTTCTCAGAACAACAGAGCGGAAGGAAGCTGTAGCCGAAACAAAGGGAGTTTCATTTCAGTTATCCTTTTAAAATGTCCAGCAAGCATTTCGAGCTTGATTTGTTTTACTTTCTAAAACATGTACGTATATTTCAGAATTTATTTCATGTATAGCCGACTTAATTACATATTATTATATAAAGTGATTAAATATGTCTGCTGGAGACCTATGATATTTATAACATTACTTTGTAAATCTATGGTATCGCAATAGGTCTTCACACTTTTAGTGGGTTATTATGCTTCAAAAGTCATAACTATGAGTTTCCACTTATATCAAAATTTCTTTATGTGCCGTAAATTGCTTTCAAATGTATGCGATAAACTTTGCATTTCTGACGAGTATTTTCAATTAGTGAGATCGTAATTCAGTCAGCCGGGGTTCCTTTCCACAAAATATTGTCCCGACAGGGAAACGCAATTTAGAAAAATGAGAGTTCCCCTCCCTCACCCTCCCACAATCTGCCTCCTGTAATTAGCACAAGGAAGTATGAGTTAATTGGTTTGGAAGTCGATTAAGCCTTTTTTAAGCATCTAAATGTGCATTTTTCTTTCAATTGTAATATTAATTTATAAAATAATTTAACACGAAGCGCATATTCAAAAGGTAACTATTTGAAAACATGTCTGTAATTGTTTTCTCGAAACCTAATATCAATAATATCTGTAATTGTTTTTTCGAAACTTAATATCTATAATTCGACAGAAATCAGAGAACAAAGATATTTTAGTACTCATATGTACATGTATATATGGCATTCTACATGTACAATACATTAAGATTTATTCACGAAGGATTATGGATTCCAAATGCTTGACCGCAAGAAACGGCTCAAGTGCTCAAAAAAAACCCATCCTAACGGCCACCGACAGGCAGGGGGCTATTAGCAGCTCTATGGGACCCCTTTATCTTTAATTTTCAGCCTCTTAACGAAATAGTCTGTCTAGCAAACGTACATAGTTTCCAAGTTTCCAATATACATCAATAAGCATTGCAGAATAGATTTAAGCACATTGTGACATTTTATTGAGAAATATGCTAATGTATGTACATGTATGTTGATACATATAGAAATTTTCTACCTTGTACTTTCTTTTTTGTTCTAAATTTATTAAATTTATTTATTTATTTATTTCTCTGAATTTCAGCAAGAACTCTTGTAATGGGCTTGTCGGCGTATAGTCTGAGGGTGTGAAACGATGCTAGATTTTGACATTATGAATACTTCTTGATAGAAAGACGCTCTTAAGGCGAATAAACACCACTTTTAAATAATTTTCTAATTTTTATCTGAGAAATATGCGATACTATATGTTTGAGTGAAAAGATTGACCATTTGATTATGATTTTACCGAGGGCTAAAATATACAAGCAAGGTCTCTTGTTTCGACTGTTTATGGTATTCATTAACACATGTTAATTCATCTGTAAATGTTTCACCTCATTGATCCACCAGAGGGTTAAGAATATCCTAAATTTATATTTTCTTTCTCTTAATGAATATTAGCTGTACATTGCCACAAGATTGGAAACAAGATATTATACTTTAGATGTGCTTTATTATTTCTGTAAGATTTGGCTCTTAGTGACCAGTAAATCTGTAAATCCCTATGCAGGAAAATGTTAATACGAGATAATATCTGCAATAAGATTTATGAACAACCCAAGTTTTCATAAAAAAATGTTTTATATATGTGTTCCCGCGGCTGGCGACCAAAATATTATCTACCTCATTATCACAGGCCAGTGCGAGGTTTTTTTCTTCGGTGAATCCCATGTCTTAAATTATTTTTTATGTATATATAAAAGTTGGCTGAGTTTATTTTTAATCTGAGTACTGCATGAAATGATAAACGGCGAGACACACCTATAGTCACATCCTTGAAATGATTCATGTTTTTTTCGTGTTTCTCCAACAAAAAATGTAAACAAAACTAAATCCGATACTTCTTAACATTTCCATTACAAGGCACATTTTGATCATTTTTATGTAATGAATGCAATCCAAATAATTAATATATTTATGAATTGTTAAATTCTATTTTTGAATATAATTTAATTTTGATATCTTGTAAAATATTCCTTTTGAGAAGAAATAGATGGACATATTGTGATGTTAATATACATAATTAGATTTATCATCATTCATACCTGTTCCTTTTGCTGTTTTTCTTGCTTTTCTTTTTTGTCATCTTTTTTCTTCGTCAGCTCAGCTTTGAATCCCTTTTCTGTAAGACTTGGGTCGTCTTTCGATAAAACGTCCATTAGATATGCTATATAACTTGTGGCTAGACGTAATGTTTTGATTTTGGATAATTTTGTATCTGATGGCACATTCGGTATACATCCCCTGAGTTGAGCGAAAGCTGTGTTAATGCTTTGAGTCCTTCTTCGTTCTTTTTTGTTTGCAGTAGTCCTTCGTTTTATACACCTGTCAAAACTTTGATAATAATGTTCGGAACCTCCGATGGAATGATAATCAGTGGGACTGGGGGTACACATGCCATATGATTCTGGAGAAACCGAAATATCCGAATGATGTCCATTAACTCCATTTAAAACCCAATTCTGAAAATAGGAGGCATCAGGACAGTGGTCCGGATAGCGCGCCATCTGTTGGTACTGGTAGAAATCATGGGACATGGGACCAGGGTGAGGGTATCCTGGGTGAGAATACCCCCCAACACTCAAACTCATGGCAGCAATTTTGATAACTTTCTCTTCAGTTTACAAATAAGATTTGGTTAAAACTATGATCTTAACACTCCCGTGACTGGAAGCAAGCCTCTAGAAGAAAAAAAAGCAACTTCCAGTATTAACCGTGTTTTGCTATCTTCAAACTATTTTGTTTTAAACTTATCATCTGTAATGCGACCTTTATTTACGTCTTGGCAGTGGTTTCCACGTTAAATTAGTATCAGCCAATCACATTGTTTGATTGCTTGCAGGGATGATGTTATCTGCGGATTCTCAGCTCTAGCCCCGCCCCCTGGAGGCTGAAGTGTATCGTAATCATGAGCGAATTGCTTTAACAATTCATAGAGCTATCGAACTAATTAATCTCAATTATTAATTCCTCCTTTAAAAAAAGTCTCAAAAAAGAATAAAATATCAATATGTTCTATTCATTTTGTCCTTTCACTAATTCGTGTAACAGAAAAAAAATTGAAAACAGAGAAATTTCACTTTTACCTACGAAATTAAACCAAACTCTTATTTGACACTAGGAAAAAGACATGTTAGTATATACAGTGATATCTGAAAACTGACCAAATATTTTCTGTGGATTTTCTAGTCATCTATCATGAATGTCTTTTCTGTGCAGAGCAAAAAACTTATGAATTACATGTCTCTGGTCTTGTTTGTTTGTTTGTTTTGAACACATTTTATTGACAACAATATTTCAGTGGGATCAGACACAACCTCTAATAACTTAGGTATTCTTCTCTGACAAAGAGGCAATGAGAAATATTATAAACAGACCCAATTTACAGTTTGAATTGAATTTCTGATAGTTTTCTTTTAAATGAATTATTCAATAAACCAAATATTTTAGATATTGGGCCTAATATAATGCGATTATTTTGTCAATTTCTCAAAAACCATGCATGTTGGGACTAAAGTTTAAGATATCTTTGGTGAGGACACTGATGATACATGTCTATGATGTAGCATTGTAAGACACAGAATCGGCATAAATTGGAATAGAATCTTCTTGCAAAAATTGAACCTCTAATTAAATAACACTTCTGTTAGTAAAGGTCACTTTTAAGAACAAATGATTTTTTTTTCAAACATCACGAAAATAACAACTTAAGTTTTGTTTATATGATTTTAATTTTTCAATCAAAATAATGTCCTATTGTGATAAAAAGTTGTATAGACTTGTAAGGATGATGGCAAAAAGATAGAATTTTGAACATGATAGAAAGTTTACAATTTCTTGATATTTTAGAAATTTGATATTTGTATCATTTACAATCAAAATAGGTCCAAAAATAAATACCAGTCTCCGCATCCAATTTTTTGTTTGTATCATTCTGCCTGCGGTAATACAAGTTTGACTGCATGCATTGTGTATATTTTCAAATTCTTCACTCTCTCCGAAATGAGTTTGAATATAAACATGACAGGTCTTCTGTAAAACAGTTGGATACCTGCGGATTTTTCTTGTATATTGAAATTTCTCGATTGCAGTTTATTACAGGCGTGACACCGGGTATATTCGGAAATGACTTCCCGTGTAGCGGGTTTCGCGCTGTGTACCGCATCTGACACGCGCTTCCTGAAACCAGTACACAGTAACAGCGCTACACGTGCCGTCACGCATTTCTGGCGATTAACCTTTTTAATTATTTAAGAAAATATTTACAAAAAATAGGAAACATTATCTCTTGTTTTAATTTTTTTCTAATAAAAATTCTGAAATAGACAGACATGAAAACTGAAGATTATGTAGTTTTCCAGTGTATTGTTAATTAGTTATGAATTTTTATAGCTTTATTTCTCAAAAGTAAGCATGTTAATTGATTGATGGGGGAAATCAAAATGAATCCTGACTGTTCTGATTTCCCTTTGTTCCTTGTAACAAGAAAAGTCGAGAAATAATGCAGAGAAAATTAAATAAGAAGATTTTATTAGTGTTTGGTAATTATTCAATAAAATCAAACAAACAAATAATGTAATGACCATTAAAGATGACACGTCTGTCGTGAAAATGTTCGCTCTGCCTTGAGCATATGTCGCGGAAGGGTTGGCCCGTTGTGGACTCGGATTTTCTCGAGGGACAAATTGCGTCAGGAAAGAGATTGCCACGGACGATGGATTCCCATCTATGGAGCAATAAACTTTGACATTCACATGCCAAGACGTAATGAGGCTCATCATGAGGAGAATTAAAAAGTGGTCACTTGTCCTCGATTCCATCAAATTTTAACCAATCAAAAACTGACACGGCTGGGATCGATTTGAATTTTTCGTCTCCAAAACCTGAATTTCAAAGTTAAATTTAATGAATAATTTTCCTTAAATCTATGTATAGTTATTCTTATGATCATTATTCAAAGATAATAAACAAAGGATTCTTTGTAAGAGCGCACGTGCGTGAAAGGCCAGCGAAAAATCAGTGGTCAATCATTATATTATACACTGTGATTAGCACGAAGCAGGAATCATTCGGTTTACGCTATCAAAGGTATCAATGATGCTACCAGCTGAGCTTGATATGTAAATCTTGATATGTTTTGCAAATACTATACGAACAATTACTCAGATGTTCCTATGTTTAAAAACAGATCAATCGCAAGAACCGCGTGATTCCACGTGCACACTTCTATCTGCAACATCATCATTGCGCAACACCATGCTTGTGATTATAGCGTAACTAATTGATTTATGAATAGATATAAATTCATGCGTGTACATTGGTCATTTTTAAAATTTTACGAATCCTTATTTTTTGGTCTGTTGTGACAAAATGTCACACAGTGGCAGAATTATTTTTGCACCAGCTCAACTTGACATAGCCTGGTCAACGATATTCACCTATCATAAAAATTGTGGAGAAGGAACGTACTATTACGCTTATAATAAGCAATTCATAAATATATTGATTAAAGACAGAAAAAGTTAAGTTTCCTCTGCGTCTTAAGGCTTTAGATCTGACAGATTTTGGAACACAAGCTTAATATGTCTCCGGCGATAAGGATTATAACATAAACATACCACCATTGATCTTTTGGTTTTTTAGTTTGGTAATGTAATTAATTGGATATTGCTTTGGGTAGTCGTTCTTGTAAACAATGCCCCGGAAGAGAGCGCTCCTCGTTAGCCACAGTTTCGCGCCAACAAAGCAAAGACGATGGATTTATTCCAAGTTTTACGACACTCGACGTCAAATATTCGGAAACGGCATCGTTAAGGAACCCTTGTTTATTCTACATACAAACAAATCCTCATATTCAATTTGCCAAAGACAAACGCACATCTGAAAGTACTTTGGTTCCGTTAAATTTATTTCTCTATTATTAAGAATTAAATTAGTTTTGGTGCCAAATTTATTTACATTATTCTTTTTCCGTCTAAATTTTTGCTATCGGACAAAGTTCGCGAGTGTCATCTCCTTCCGCGGGATGATTGTTATATTTCAAGATAATTACAGAAATATGGATAGACCAGGTTTTGTATATATGTTTGACGAAAGCATTGAAAGGGAATTAGAACTTACAAGAGGAAGTTATATAACATGTTCTTTCTTTGGAAACGGTTAAGAAAAGCATCATTTTCAATCCATATAATAGTCTATTATTTTTTTTTGTCACTGGATGAGTAAGTAGACTAATGAATCAACATCTAGTTACATTTATATTAATTAATTCACGCTTCCCTTTTTTAATGTCTGGAAGACATTTGTTTATAAACAGATAAGATCTGAACACCAATACGGCACACGTGGACAAATGAGAAAACAAACACATGTATCACGGAAAACACACGAGTAACGTAAGTGATCGATTGACAGATATGCCTACAACTGGTCTTCAAAAAAGTTCTACAACTCGTATGTTATCCATTGACCTATAATATATCGGTACTGTTAAAATAAACCGTTTCTTTTGTATAAAATTTTCACATCAGAGCATTTGTAAGTAATGGATATTAAGGTTCAAGAATAAGGTCATATTAGGGGTGGAATACCTTAAATTATTTCATTTGTCGAGAAAACTTCGAATTAGCCTTTTCTACAAATGTACACGTTAGTGGAGATGTAGCTGTATGACAACATGTCATTTACAGCGACCTCTAAGGGCCTGCCAAAAAAAAAAAATTCAGAATACAGTATTCTGCAAAATGAGCACATCAAACACATACAGTATTCTGCAAAATGAGCATATCAAACACATACATGTACTACTTATTTTTTTTTCGGGATGAGAATTGTTATGTAATTATATGGTGGTGATGATTAACGGAATAGCATATTGCCCGTGGACATGCGCACAACGTCGTCATCAGATAATAGAAACCATTGCGATATCATCAACAAAAAACAACATTATACAACAAGTATCTAATTTAGAGAATTAAATATGCATTGCACAGCCGTCCGTAAATACATATGTAACGTTATCATGGCCGACTGAACATCAAAGGAGACTAGATTACGGTAGATGAAACCAAAACTATCGTACCATTACAAATCTCGCTATCCATTCGGATCGTGAGATTTAAAAAGAGTAAACTGTAAATGTCTATAGGTGAGGTCCAAGCCAAGTAAAATAACTGAACTATAGGAAATACATGTATATAGAATATAAAATTTACTACAGCTCAAGTCAACTTTTAATTGTCTTTAGTCCAGAAGCTGGTAAATTAGCGTAACATTCTAGGACTAATAATACTTACATGTATCTTCCTCGTGAAATACATGGTGTTTCAAAATTGTCTCGATTTTAAGTAAAAAGCATACATCATATACAAGTTTATTATGTACATCATTTGCAAAACATTTTCATCATATAAAATCATGAACATGATGCAAAAGTTTTTAATAAAAACTTTCAAATTCTCTTGCGAGTACAAGTTTAACAAATGTCAGTGGTATCCTCACTGGCACTAAAGACCGCTAAAGTTCCATTCCTGGACTTTGAAAACCAGTTCATCATCCTTTGAATATATATCTCCGAGGAGCAAATTTAAAAAGAATGTGGCCAGAACACACTTGTGGATCACTTCTTTGGAGGTGGTCTGAAAATAAACATTGGTAAAAAAATTACCATGACTCTAATTTTTGCTGAAGAAAAACATTTTTTAGAAGTAGAAGGATCTTGAGCTAAGGAAATTCTGGTTAGTGACATATTCTGTGTATAATATGACCTATATATATACAAGGCTATAGCAGTTCTAGCATAAGCTTTATCTTCATGTGAGAAATGTTACAAGACAACTGTTGCTCACAATATACCGTCTATATGAAGTTTTAATCTTCATGATTATAAAGGGCCATTATTTTTATGTGAATATATATTTTCAATTACAATTACAATTTACAAATGAAGTTTCTTATTACACACTGCATATGGTTGGAATAAATTACATTCTTTTCCACACAATTTAAACAAATTACTAAGTTTGGAAGAATATATATTTTTAAAATAATAACAATAGATGGAGCCAACTTTAAAATAATGTTTGTTTGCCCTCTCCAGACTCAGGATGAAAAAATTGGGTCAGTAGGTAGGTGAGAAATTTTTTCCCCCCAGAAAATTTCAATGCTGAATTTTCAAAATATATTTTCCATAATGCATGAAAAAAAAATTGCTTCCTGGAGGTTAAAAAAAGTTTTGAGTTGGGCCATTTTAGCCAGTCAGTTGGGAGAGGGCAACCAAACAATTTTTTAAAGATGGCCTGGTGCTAATACTTTTAATTACATTTTTTTTTATTTTTTGAGGCACAGCAATTTGTGCAAGAATGAGACAATTAATAGTGATTTTAATAATGAAGGGTGCAATATAAGCTCTTGTCCACTCATCCTGGACGAGTGAAAATCGACTGTGGACAAGTACTGTAGATCACCAAAGATTCCCGAGACCTTATTTTCGCGAGATTGTCATTTTTTTTTATAAGCGTGACACAATTTTCGCGAATTAAATTTTTATGTTACAAAATCTTTACTTATACAAAACAAGAGGCCCATGGGCCACAATGCTCACCTGAGTTACTTTGGCACTGCTGTTCTTTACAAGACCTCCCCTTTGTAATATTTATTGCGGCCCCGCCCTACCCCCAGGGGCCATAAATTGAAGAATTTAGAATCTACACTACCCAAGGATGCTTCCACATAAGTTTCAGCTTTTCTGGCCCAGTGGTTCATGAGAAGAAGATTTTTAAATATTTTTCTTATATATTTCAATGTAAAACTTGGATTCCCTATTGTGGCCCCGCCCTACCCCCGGGGGCTATGATTTGAACAATTTGGAATCTACACTACCCAAGGATGCTTCCACATAAGTTTCAGCTTTTCTGGCCCAGTGGTTCATGAGAAGAAGATTTTTAAATATTTTTCTTATATATTTCAATGTAAAACTTGGATTCCCTATTGTGGCCCCGCCCTACCCCCGGGGGCTATGATTTGAACAATTTGGAATCTACACTACCCAAGGATGCTTCCACATAAGTTTCAGCTTTTCTGGCCCAGTGGTTCTTGAGAAGAAGATTTTTTAATGACCCCACCCAATTTTTGTCTTTTCTTGATTATCTCCCTTTGTAAGGGGGATTGGCCCTTCATTTAAAAATTTAAACTCCCCTTCACCCAAGGATGCTCTGTACCAACTTTGGTTAAAATTGGTTCAGTGGTTCTTGAGAAGAAGTTGAAAATGCGAAAAGTTTACAGACGGACAGACAGACAGACAGACGGATGGACGCCGGACAACAGGTGATCAGAAAAGCTCACTTGAGCTTTCAGCTCAGGTGAGCTAAAAATGAGAATTAAATTTTCGTGCACAAATTGTCTCACGTAATTACGTGAAAATAAAGTTCTTGCAAATAAAACATGATTTACAGTAGATGTCATGATCTGATTGTTCCGGTTGAGATTTAAAATTTTTGGCATGATGATATTCTTCTGTTTATATCCGGTGATGATTAAAAGAAAGTGAAACAAAGTGCTTCCAGATTTGACAAGAGACTTAGAGTCTGAAGTAAAACAAATATCATAAGTACATCACACTCAGTTTGAGAGGAAATCTAAAACAAGCTTTAAATTTTCTTTATTTCTTTGCAGAAAGCAAGCTTTATAAGGGACAAGTAAATTCATCATTGAGAGACAAGTGGGTTTGATTTCATACTCAATGCCTGGGAAGAGTGGTCCCTGAATATTTTTCTCATCCTATAATTTTAAATTTACAATGTATATTAACAAAGCCTAAGAAGTAATCAATTGAGTTAAGTGCTCATATGGTCCTGATGATAAAACATGAACTACTCCCTCAGCTGACCACCATTTTGAAAGCTACCTGTATACTCCTACTACTACTGCATGGTCTCTTTCATAGGGCTCCAGTGTCAGCTGTTCCTGGGGCTTGATTTTCTCCCCTCTTAGTTTGTTGATTTCTCCAGCAAATACAGCCTCAGGTTCAGCAGTAGAATCAACACAGTTTGCCTGTAGTTAATATAATGACAGCTATACAAGAAAGGTAACTCTTTCATAATCATTTTATTCCTAAAAGTTTACTTTTGCAACACCAAGTATCAATCAGTTTAAAATTTTAGACAGTGACCATAGATTAATACTATTAGAATTTATGAATGAAGTTTTAAGAACAGTGTTTACCTTTATGGATATTACAATATGACCATTGTTTTTGAGGAAGTGATGTGCATTAATAGCAACAATTCTGGCTTGATCAGGCTGTGCAACATCAGCAAATATTGTGTCCACCATACCTAAATAAAGTACAATCATAATTAAAATGCCATCATGTATTGTTTAACTTTTAAAACTTTATTATTGTTCAGAGTTTCCGAAAACCAAATATTTCTATCAGTCATTCGGACTGATGACTTAATGTGTCAGAAGCAAATTCTATCAGTCCGAATAAACTTCATGATGTAATTCAAAAGAAAATGGCATTAGTTTATAGTACTCAAATTGAGTGTGTAAATCTTTTTGCGGATCATTACAACACCGATTGTGAGACCACTGGTATGCAATTAAAAAGTTCAAGCACTAGCCCACAGGCTAGTTACAGCAATATAGTCACTAGCCCAAAGTAAGGGGGGGGGGGGGGGGAGAGTAACAACTGATATGAAAAAAAAACATAGTTTAATGTTGAAAAAGTAGGGTCTTAAGGTCATTCTTTTTAAAATTATTAGTATTAAAATTATTAGTTTAATTCTCACTTGTAAAATTTATAAATTAATAATTAAAGTGAATTCAAATAAATTATCTTCCCTTTTTCTGGGCATTGCACTAGCTCATCTAAACTGAAGAGAAAATCTTTTTTTTCATCTTTAATCAGTAAATACATTGGAACTATATTTTATGTAAATCACATAACACTTCTCTTTCAGTTGATTGAGTGATCGTAAATAATGTAACGAGATATCTGCATGTGTTTACCATAAACCGATGAATGGAGGAAAGTTAGGTTAGGAAAAACGATCGTTTTTGGAAGTAAATAAGTCAGGTACTATTGCAAAATGGATAAGATTAGGGAGATTTACAAACAATACGAGCATGCTGCCTGGAAATTTTTCATTCATTGGGAATTTAATTGCAAAGAATGAGTGAAAATACCAGTAGTGCTTTTCATGTATCACATTGACAGTTTTAACTTTTACTAGCCCAAGGGGCTATCTTCATGCAGAAAACTACTAGCCCGACCCCAAAATATGGTAGCCCCGAGTGTCGAGCGATGCTAATTGCACACCCCTGGAGACATCGCAATAGATCAGAGTACAATTAATTAGAATATTAAATCTAACTGTGTCTCAAGACAACCCTTCGATCCCAACAATCAGTCACGCGGACTGGTAATATAGCGAATTGCATCGGACATTTCGATTTTCTATCGGTTTTGCCGGTAGGACCAATGGTTTTCGGAAACTCTGTTGTTGAGAAATCCTTACCAACTAGCATTCTGTATTTGTGTGGGTGTCTTGCATCTTCAATGATAGGGATAATATTTGTCCTTTTCTTTGCCACATTAATCAGATCTCTACCACTTCTGTGTGAAAATTCTACAGCATACACCAAACCTTCCTGTAAATTACATATGACAATATTAAAGTTCTTTTTTCTTCAATCATTCCTATTTTGAACAGGATATGTTTGCTAGGCACAAATAAGTCTAAGCATGTCATTCATATTTTGAACAGGATATGTTTGCTAGGCACAGATACGTCCAAGCATGACCCAGTTGAAAATGGTACAAAGGTGACCAAACTAGAGCTGCCATGAGGGGACATATAATAAAACACACATACCGAAGTGCCTGGGAACAACAATTTTGATTCATTATAAACATAATTCATTATATCTGTTCAGTTCACAACATATTTTAAAACTAATGAGAATGAAAATCACTTTGCTGTAAAGCATAAATTCATTACCGGTATATGTGTGTTCACTATAACCATGTTTACTGTATATACCTCCCTATTACACATTCAAAACAATTCGTTTGCACATGAAAAAGCAGTTCTGCATGTTCTTTACTACATAAGTACACCTGTACTTCTTAATTGTCAGTCAGAGACCCACAATATTGTACTTACGGGTCCAACAATATCGGAAACATGACTAACAGTAGTCCCTGAAGCTGCCCCTAAGTATAGGACCTTGGCTCCAGGTTTCATGTATATTTTTTCTACACCTCCTAGAATGGCTGCTGCTAACTTTGATCTAAAGGGATTCCATGCTCTGTATTCTATCTTCTTTTCTCCTTCCTAAGTGAATACAATTCAGAAAGCATTAACTTTCAAATGATTAGGCCCAAAGAAGGATAATCAACGAGAAAATGAGTGCCTGGTGTTAAAGACATTAAGCCTACTGGTAAGTAAAGCACATCATTTTAGTAATTCCTAGCTGAAAAAATACCCTACTAAAAGTTTCATTTGTGTATCAGGTACACACAATATAACTTCTTTATGGAAGAAGAAGAAGGCGTTCTTCTTTCATCTTTTTGTAAAATTATAACACAAACCTCTACAACAATCTTTTTCTCTCCATAAACTGTTTCTCCAGGGACCATATTTAATGTAACTAGAGCATCTTCTTTACCACGAGCAATGAATACACCTAAAATATGAAGTTTAATCACTGTACAATGCCTGCTATATAAATTAATACAAATTACCCATACTTACGAGTTAGATACATTTTACTCTATGTCATGCTTCAAACAAAATGTACCTTCATGTCTGTGGGGCTCAACTGCGACACTCTTTCCACCCCTGAATCCCCCTCTACCTAGAAATAGTTCATTTGTCAATTAATTTTATTCCTCACTATTAAAACTCGTCAAATTACAATAACATCACTTGCCATTATTTGTTTAAATGCATGGATTGACAGTCTTTTTAAAATCTATTTATATCTTATACATACCACCTCCTCTGCCTCCCCTTCCTGCAATGAAAATAATTCATATTCTGATACAGTGTACATCTTAAAAATAAAACTTCTAAATTCTTAAACCTTATACTGGGATTCCTTAGTTAGCCAAGGGAACAATAAGAACCTTGAATTATCATAAGCTCAGTATTGAAGTTTGCATAACAATTATATTGAGCTTTTATTATACATGTAGTTTTTTTTTTCTCAGTGCTTCTAGATTTAAAAAAAAGTTGTTTTTAATTTTAAACAATTTTCTTACTGTGTTTTCATTACATTCTGATAACAAGAGGTCCAAGGGCCTTAATGGTCACCTGAGTACAATACAACAATTTAGAGGATCCATAAACTGATAAATGAAGCTTTGTTGCCCAACAGCAAGAAAAATAGTATGATTAGCATCAACAAAATAATTGGTCTAGTATCTATTTGCCCCCCCCCCCCTCCCCCCATTTATCACTATTCCCATGCAGACTATTAACAAAATGTCTATTATTTAACCCCATATTATTCCTTCTCACAATGGCCTCTCTTGGCCTTTGAAGAACATTTAAGAAGATAAGTTATTTTTGTCTCATTTTGCTTCATCTATTATTTCCAAGTCATTAAAACTATGAAAGTACTTCTTTATTATACAATAAATTTTCTTGCATAATTCTCTTATTCTATTAAGCTTTCAAATACATTATGTGCATTGATTAATTATCAAAGGTGAATGGCAAAGGGGAATAACTCTGCTCAGTAGAAATACAAGTTAATAGAGCCCTGGCCAGGACCAGAAACTTGACTAAATGGTCCAGGTGTTCAAAATTCTGGTAAAAATACCCTTGCATATTAAAACTTTTACTCTGTTTGCCTTGAACATCCAGAGAAGCATAGAAGATTTTCAAAGAAATGCATTTTCACCATATTATTAAATAAATAAAGCCCCATCCTTACGCCAGAACATCTGACCCATTGGCCACGAACTCACAATTCTGGAAGAAGCACCCTTTCTCATCATAACTATACACTTGTTTCTTTAGTTTATAACCAGTAGTAGATGAAAAATTTTGAAAGAAATTATGCATTTTCACTATATACATGTAATCAATAGAGCTCTCTCCCCCCCCCCCCCCCCTTCACCAGAACCCCTGACCCAGGGGCCATGAATTTCACAATTTTTGAAGAGGCATTCTTCCTTATCATAACCATGCACTTCCTATGTTTGAAAAATACCTTGGAGCAGAGAAGGAGACTTTGAAAGAATTCATGCCTTTTCCCTATATAATCAATAGAGCCCCACCCTACACCAGAACCCCTGACCCTGGGGCCATGAAATTCACAATTTTGGAAGAGGCATTCTTGCTTATCATAACTATGTACTTAGTTACTTTATTTAATACTCAGGAGCAGAGAAGAAGATTTTCAAAGAATTCATGCATTTTCACTATATAATCAATAGAGCCCCGCCCTAACACCAGAACCCCTGACCCTGGGGCCATGAATTTCACAATTTTGGAAGAGGCACTCTTGCTCTTCATAACTATGTACTAAGTTAGTTTATTTAATACCCAGGAGCAGAGAAAAGGGTTTTCAAAGAATTTCTGCAATTCTACCATATAATCAATAGAGCCCCGCCCTAACACCAGAACCCCTGACCCAGGGGCCATGAAATTCACAAATTTGGAAGAGGCATTCTTGCTCATCATAACTATGTACTAAGTTACTTTATTTAATACCAAGGAGAGAGAAGAAGATTTTCAAAGAATTAATGCATCTTCACTATATATTCAATAGAGCTCCACCCTAACACCAGAACCCCTGACCCAGGGGCCATGAAATTCATAAATTTGGAAGAGGCATTCTTGCTCATCATAACTATGTACTAAGTTACTTTATTTAATATCCAGGAGCAGAGAAGAAGATTTTCAAAGAATTAATGCCTTTTCCCTATATAATCAATAGAGCCCCGCCCTAACACCAGAACCCCTGACCCTGGGGCCATGAATTTCACAATTTTGGAAGAGGCACTCTTGCTCTTCATAACTATGTACTTAGTTAGTTTATTTAATACCCAGGAGCAGAGAAGAAGATTTTCAAAGAAATAATGCACTTTCACTATATGATCTATATAGCCCCACCCTAGCACCAGAACCCCTGACCCTGGGGCCATGAATTTCACAATTTTGGTAGAGGGCTCAATGCTTATTACTATGATGCCAACAGTTTGACTGCTTGATGTCCAGGAGTAAAGAAGAAGATTTTTAAAGATTGAATTATTTTCAGTGGTTTTAGCCCCACCCCTCAGGCCCCAGGGGGGCAGGGACCATGAAATTCACAATTTTTGTTCCCCTTAACCCATAGATGCTTTCTAGATGTTGAAATTGGTTGAGCTGTTTCAGAGAAGAAGCTAAAAATGTTCAAATGTTAACACACAACGCACACCGCACGCCGACGGACGAGAACAGATAGCAATAGGTCACCTGAGTGACTCAGGTGACCTAAAAAAGGACCTTGATATCTTAAAATTCTAATCCTTTGGATACTAGTAAATGTACTTCAGTACACTTAATTTCTGCACAATTATAGCCTAATTGCTTAAAGAATAAAATCTACATTATATCATATGGACAATCAAACCAAAAATGTGCAAATCAAGCTTGCTTGACCCTGACTCATGCTCATGGGAGCCTACATCCAAACATGTTTCAACCTGCGAATAACACCACCAAAACATGGGACAAAATTGAGAGTTGACCTTTGACAATGACCTGGCATTACTGGAAGATGCAGAACTTGATAAGACAAGGATGCAATCATGAACAGAAATGTCAGTGCCTTCTTGCAATATAAAAGTATACACAAAATGATTGTATATTAAAATAATATTTACTAAAGTCAAGTATTTATCAATAATCTTTTTGCATCCTGCACCATGATTTATTTATTGATTATATAATCAAACATCTTATAACTTCAGTATGGCTACTGTTCTTGTATATAATTTAGAAATCATTTCACTTTACACATTCACAGACATACCTCCTCCTCTTCCGCCTCTGCCTCCACCACCTCGACCCCCAAATCCTCCTCCCCTCCCACCGCCACCTCGACCCCCAAATCCTCCTCTTCCTCCTCTCCCTCCTCTGTCTCCTCCCCTTCCACGACCACCTCCTCGGCCTCTAGGTGTGAAATCTAAGAAAAATGTCAATTATTACTGAAATTCTAAACCAAATTCCATACTGCTTTGAATATTAAACAAATTCATCACAAAAAAATAGTATAACCATGATTACAGTGAAAAGATACACTTTTCATCAAACACATAAATTGTGATATGTACCGTGATGCACCGACATGAAATGTCACATATTTTTGACCCCATAAAATGGGATATGGTGGGACACAATTCATGAGAAATCAAGATTTGTCCTGTATTTTGGTTTGTTTTATCAGAAACTGCCATTTTGTTTTAGGGTTGAACACCCAATGATGGAACTGTATGATGCCATAGTAGTATTTTGGAACATGGTACTTTTTAAACGATACCTGGATCTATCAACATATTTGATAGAACCAATGTGGTTTCAGTACGTTATATAGATGTCTTTATTACTTCCATTTTTATCTAATCTTTTAAAATAAAAATTAAGAAAATAACAGGTAAATATATTGAAATCTAATATATCAAATTGTGTGCAATATGGCTTAGGCCTGAGTATCGCAAGCTACCTAATGATACGATACATATCACGATATGGTCATGGGATACAACTTGTATCATGATACAGCTGTCAACAATTGAATTAACCATTTATATCTTAACATATTATTCTTTGCTATCCTCCACAGTTACAGAAAATATAAAAAGAATATCTTGATACCCCTGTCCAAAGTTAATAAAAGGTGGATTTATAGTCTTGACATTGTATTTTTTCTTTGCTACCTTTTTTTCAGCCATTTTAAAACTCTAAAATTTGTTAGGTTGTAGGTAAAAGTTTCAAGCAAAACAATTAAGAAATAAACAACAATGTTAAAAAGTTCTCTGGGAAATGAACTTGGTTGGTCACGTGATCAAATCCTGTGAAGCCCGAAGGGCTTCTCAGAAGATTTGATCACGTACCAACCAAGTTCATTTCCCAGTGAACTTTTTAACATTGTTGTTTATTACTTTTATTTACATTTGAGACGAATATTCTGAGTAGAACTGCATTTATTACACAAACGGCCCGCCGTATTGCTATGTTGTGACGCGCAATGACCTAGAAGCTGTTTGTTCTTCAGAGTTCGCCTCGCTCCAACATTTGAATATTTACATGGATGTTAAGCCGTTCAGTTCAGGAAATAACTGTTCGTAATGAAAAAACAATGATCGCTACTGAGAATAATCTTACTATTATTGTATGAGTTCTTTATATATGAAGTCAAAAGCGGTGGTATATCGTCTTCAGTTTACATACCTTCAAAGGAATTTCGGGTTAAAAAGGTAAGCGTGATTTTAGGCTAATTAGAAACATTCTTCACACCGAAGAAAGATATAATGATCATTTGTTGAACAAAAAAAATATATGTTTCAATAATTTTATCCTTTTCATCGCTTTAACGGCTCAGAAGTTCCGAAACAGTGTCACTGTGACAGAAATATGTAGACAAGATATCGTCTTGCTGTGTGATTCGGTCACGCATGACCTCTGACCCCCTAATAAGTTCATACAGAATTGAACATATTTCCTCTTCAATAGGTTCATCTAAGAAAAATATTTGCAAATGTAAATAATGAAAATTATCTTGTACTGTATCACAGTACATACACAGTGATTGGGAAGGGCTTGCGCCACGCACCATAGTCCCATTAAAGTGAAAATTGGCTGATTAAATCAATCATTGGTAGCGCCAAGGTGCGCATTCAAATTTTAGCGATGTTAGTTGGAAATATATTGCGTACGACTTTCTTGCTTGTTTTACTTTCATTTTAAATGCAGTCATTTTAACACAACAAAGCTCATTGGTTAAAACGTGGCAAAAACTGCTACCTGTTACATGAAGCGCTTTATTTAGGACAACAAAGGTACATTAACTCACTCATTTCCAATGTTTAATTGAAATTTTGACGTTATTGATCCAAAATACAAGAAAATTATATTGTTTAAATGTGCTATACTGCATACGTGAAAAATAAAATTTGGTTAATGAAAAAAACGTGTTTCTTTTCATATTTGACGTTTGTTTGTCATTTTGTTTTTTTCTTAAAATGGCCCATCAGAATATATAGATGGCCCATTCATTTTCAAAATGGCCCATTAAAAACTTTGACAGGTGCGCCATAGTCCCATTGACCTTGATGGTCTTCCTAATCACTGCATACATGGCAATATGATACACGTATCGTCCTTGGGATCAATATGATCGATGTATTGCTGTATCATTACACCTCTAATATGGTTAGATTCAGAATTATGACTAGTTTGACATGAACCATTTCTTATGGTTGCCAAAACTCATGTTGTTTATGGCGACACTAGAAGACAACACTATAAAAAGTGCAGGAAAGTGATCAGTATAATTTTCTAGCATTCTAGTATGTAATGTAATCATAAATAAAAACAAAACAGAATTAGTCATGTCCAAGTACACATTATTGAAATTTGTACTTCTCAATTATTACTTTGTATTAGTTAGCATGCCCTAACAACAAGTTGTAAAATATTCAATCTTTAACTCAAATGCATTTATTACATAAAGGAGAGGATATTGGTACTGGTATTAAAAGAAATATTTTACTGATAATTTTGAAACAAGTATTTGGTACGTAAAAGTGTACCTCAGTCCCGAAGAAGGCTGTGTAAAACTTTCAGATTGCCACGGTTTGTAAGAGTTATTAAAATCATAAAATACATTCGATTCATCACAAATTTAATATACTTCTATGTTCTGTTATGCTGTGTAAGTGGAAGCCAAGAATTTATCTGCAAAATATGGGACATTTAAACATCAGATTTTTGTGGCAGGCCTAACTTCTAAAATCAGGTCCCTGCTAAAATTTACTGTGTATCGGTTTTCCTCTGTAATTTTTATGGCATTATGATCTTTAGTGAACTGCAATTGATAAAAAGCTCTTTGATAAGAAAATCAAGGGAATTTTAGTTCTCGAATTCAAACTGTCGTTATAAAAGTATTACCTGGTCTTCCCATGTTTGCAAAAAGTGAGACCCACGTGTGTTTGGTTTCAAAATTTTCCCATAAATCCTCACTTTCCAAACTTCCGTTATTTGACCAAGAAATTAAATCTCGAGCCCGATTTCTCCTGGATAAGAGACATAAATTATTTACGTATGATACTATCCGTGGTTAGTTTAACACAGTGTCAATCTAAAATGGTTCATATAATTTAGCTTAATCATATCTAGTTATTTTTTTTCTTATATGAACTTTACATTAAAAAAAAATTTATAAATTAATAAACAAACAAACAGTCTGTGAACAGAGATGTTAAAAAATATTTATACTTCTCTGTTCAATATTTGTTTGTATAGTTGAATATCAATGCAATCCGGCACATTTTTCATTAAAGCCAATTTTGGGAATTCTCCAAAGTAAATTCATGTAAGTGTTAAAAATAAACAGCATTTATTATCCATTCGATCGTCAAACTTTGTCGAAAAAGTCTTCTCTGTCTTCTGTATATCAAGAAATGACGATTGGCACCCCCATTTTATTTCCACAAAAACACAATAAACTTGCAATGAAATGATATGAATGTCGATATTACGGAGCATGTCATTCAGATATATTTGAGAACTTTTGTGTATTTCAATCATTGTATTATCATGATTATTAGAAACGTTGTTTCTTTCTTCTATCAAGAAGTTCCAACCCGTTTCACAGAAAAGTGAATGTTTCTAGAGAAGCTCTTGACATGTTACGTTTCTAGTAGCACATATATATACATATTTATTTGAAATACATGTGTTATTCAATTGGTGTATATCATCAGTATTTTTAGTTGGGCTACGGTTGGTGTATCTGTCTGTCACATATTTTTCTGTTATAATTTTTGAACGGATTTAGACACATGTATTGCCTTTGATCCATATTGAAATGTGTCACTATCTTTACTCAAGGTCATATATCTTACATGTCAAGATCACTAGACAATGAGATACTGATATCATCTGAGGGTGTTACCCTGGACAATGAGATATTAATATCGTCTGAGGGGTATAACCCTGGATAATGAGATACTGATATCGTCGGAGGGTATTACCCTGGACAATGAAATACTGATATCGTCTGAGCGGTATAACCCTGGACAATGAGATATTGATATTGTCTGAGGGATATAACCCTGGAACCTCTGGTCGAAATGAATTAAAACTCAGTGTTTTGTTGCTGATTCAAGAGTGTCATGAACTCGACTCAAAGTCATTTGAATTTGGAATTTGAAATTTTTGAGTTATAATATGAATACATATTCTGTTAGTGTATAGTTAGGTCAATTACATTAAATGTTAACCGTAAATAAAATATCTAGTCCTTTATATGTTGTCAAGCAAAATGCATTAGAGATATTTTATACCGATTCAAGGACATGTCATCAAGATCATATAGAGATGGCTAAGGGAATAACCGGAAAAGTCTTCAACAAATAAACAAATAATAAAAACTTCTTTAAATTTGTTTGTATTTGGTATTAACATTTTCTGAGGAGTGTTCTGAGGGAATAATCATCAGCAAACAATGTAAAGGTAACAAATATTTTCCTTTCAAATACATGTATATTTCATAAATACTACATTGCAAATTGTTTCTCTTAATTGTGAAAGTGACAGATGATGGTCTCAACTGACAGAACAGAGTTCACTTTGTCTTTGTACCCCAACAGAAGATCTGACAGATATCGGTTTCTTTTTTTCCTTCTTTTTGTAGGTCATATCAAATATAGACACATAGTCGTTGTGGTAGGGAGGACACGATGACACCAGCAGTTTGTCCCCTGTCCTGTTGATAGCCACACACTGAGGGCGCTGAATACCGTCCTCCTTTGTTAGCAAAGTTTTTACTTCTTCTCCATCAAATGATATCACCTGAAATGAAATAGTGAATTAACAGTTTATCAATGATATAGTATTTCACCAGTATGTTAAATTTTAAAGATGTGGTCTCGATGTTATCACTATTTATAATATCTGATTGTTATGTGAAAGCACAAATTAACATCTCCTACACTACAATATACTGGACTAAGCCTTTCCATTAACCGATTTGTCCGCTTCAGACGGGCATCTCGCAAAACCCTTCTGTAGTACGGACTAGAGAAAGCTAATTGATGGTGTGTTTTTCCTGTAAGAAATATCACACTGATTCTCTACTTAACAACTGTCATGATTACATACCTTAATACTATTGTCTTTCATGTCTGCAACAAAAAGATGATCTCCACAGATACATAAACCTCTCGGCATTTCGAATTTGTGTTTCCACCGGAACCGACCCTGTGTGGTGACGCAGATCACATGCCCTTCCATCCCCACCCCATCAGCCACGAAGATGAGAGTCCCAGCTTCGTTCATCACACAGTACCAGGGCTCTCTAAACAGACTCTTTCCATCAATGTCCTGCCATATATAGCGAACAATGTCTGTATCCTGGATAATAATTCGTTTGTCCAAATCCTTACCAGAGCACACGGCTAATTTACTTTGACTGGAGCATATTCCCCTACAGTAACCAGATAATGATATAATTTTCGGCACATAAATTTTCCAGTCATTATTGTAAGTTTTTGTCAATTTTAATGAATTATTTTCTACAGTACAAAACCTGACACAACCCGAATCACTAACTGCAGCAGTTTCATTATCCATCAATGTTAAATCATATGGCTTAAAGGAATCATCTTCAGTTATAAATTTAAAATCTGCAGAGAACAGTTTTAATTTCAAATTTCTGTTGTCTGCCATAAGGATTTTGTCGTCTTCCAAAAAGATTGCACCCGTTATCCAAGCCTCTGCATTGTCCGTCTCTGAGGTAACATTTAGTTGTTGGCAACTTGTGCATTCGATTTTGTACTCGAATAAGTCACATTGGTCTTCAGGAAGAGACAAAGTCGTTACCGCGGTAGAAGTCCTAGATGGTGGAGATATAGTTTCTAGTGGGTAGAGCCTATGGCCTTTAGTGGCCTTGAGAAGCAGGTGAAACCTTGAACAGTCGGCGCAGTACTCCTCTTGGCATGTCCGGCACAGATTTACTGCTTTTGAGTTGATCTCACGTTTTAAACAAAGTCTACATGGTTTATCATTTCTCTTCGGAATCATGATGTCCATAAGACTAATGATTTGATGATTGCTCGGGAACTGGTCCACCCAGTCTTCCACAGGTTTCCGAACATCGGACGGAACAACATTATGTCGGCATACTGGACATGAGAACTCACAGTTTCTTGTTTTATTTTCCTGCTGTTTAGTGATATAGACGCGTAGACATTCTCTACAGAAAGAATGGAGACAGGGAAGACCTTTAGGATTAGTGAAAATGTCGGCACAAATTGGACAAGTAAATTCGCGATACAATTCCTCATCCATATTTTGAAATATTCCCACTTTTCTCTGATTTTATTTGGTACTAATCCTAATGGAGATTGTTTCTGTCCCTTCAATTCTGTTTTCAAACAAGATGGTAAAAAATTGACAAGTTCTGACCATATACAGCGCAAAAGTCAATTGTGTTTTCCAATTGTCATGTTTCGAATTAAATTTCTCAAACAAAAAAGGAAATATGAAAGGTGATCAGCGAAGCATGTAGTTCACCTCAATGTAAACCAATCACATAATATTACTCTATAGTTAATGTAGACTTTGTGTACCGATGGGTGCAGTTCATTGTTAAACAGAAAATATATTCAATTTCACACCAAAGAATTTTACACAAATACGTTTTTAACTTTTCAATGATGGAAGCAATGCCCAGAGATTTTCAATTAAAGATACATCATTTGTTAAATCTCCACTCAAGTCAAATCTTTTCAGTTTAAATAACGTTTTTAATACGTAGTGTTGAGGGTACACAGTGCTTTAATTTCAATGCAACATATAATCAAAGATAGGAAAATGCAAATACACTTTTGAAAAATAAAATCAGTTTTGCCTCATGCTGATAAAGTATCAAAGCCAAAGTTTTCTTGTAGATAGTGTTTGTGTTGGTATCATCTACGTTTTTTTTTGTTTTTTGTTTTGTTTGTTTGTTTGTTTGTTTTTTTTTTGAATGGTTCTTCGAAAGTAGATATAATTAGATAAAATTAATTCTGTGTTAAAAGACAACTACGTTCAACGAATGGCGTTTGTTTTCTATCCGAAACTTCAAGCTGAAGAATCGTGGAACATTTTAAATAATACAGGCAAATTATTATTTAACTTATTATTTTAGTCCGGTTTTACGATCAAGGAAAATTTCAAATTTTATAAAACGATTACTCAGGCGAAGTATGCTAACAGTTGGGGTAACTAATCCAATAGCAAAAGTACCTGCTTTAAAAATACACGAAAAGCTTATACAGGTGTGTGCAAATTCGGAACACAAAGTATTTATATACATTTATACAGAAGCATTTTAGTCTTATTTGATTCCTTTTAAAATCTTTGTTCTGCAATTTCCTAGAAAGAGTGAAATATTGATTCTTAGAATAAAAGTACTTTAATGATAACTAGTATTAATTGTAACGGGGACCGTTACAGATGTTCCCCAAACGCTCCCCAACTTCCTTTTGGTGTTTTATTCCCTGTAAGCTTCATTAAATAAGGCAATCAAGTATATTTGTTTTTTTTTAAGCATTACACGCGCGCGCACGGGCATGCATGTACAAAATGACCATGTCAACTTGTCTACACTTTTAATACATCTTTATATTCAAATTTCATCAAAAGATAAAAAAAAATTCGGCTATATTAAGTATATCTGTCATTTTACGCATTGCAAGCGCGCGCACGTGCATGCATGTGCATGATGACCGTGTCGCCTTGTCAACACTATTAATATATCTACATATTTTGAGTATCAAAGCATTTCAACAAAAAGTATAAAAGTTACAGCTATATCAAGTATATTGGTCATTTTAGCATTGCATGCGCACGCATGTGCATGCCTGTGCATGTTGACAATGTCGTCTTGTCTACATTTATAATATGTCTATATATTCTGAGTATCAAAGCATTACATCAAAAAATGTAAAAGTTATGGTCATATCAAGTATATTGGTAATTTTACTCATTGCATGCGTACGCACGTGCATGCATGCGCTGACCATGTCACCTTGTCTACACTATTAATATATCCTTATATTCTGAGTTTTAAAGTATTTCATCAAAAGATATGAAAGTTTTGGCTATATCAAGTATATTGGTCATTCTACTCATTGCACGCGCACGCACGTGCTTGCAAGTGCATGCATGTGTGCGCTGATCATGTCATCTTGTGTACACTTCTAATATATATTTATATTCTGAGTTTCAAAGCAATTCATCAAAAAATACACAAGTTAAGTATATATAATTTGTATTGGTTATTTCAATCATTGCGCATGCGCACACGTGCATGTATGTGCATTCTGACTATGTCATCTTGTCTACACTTTTAATATATCCTGATATCCTGAGTATCAAAGCATTTCATCAAAAGATATGAAAGTTATAGCTATATCAAGTATATCTGTCATTTTACTCATTGCACGCGCGCGCACGTACACGTACGTGCATGCATGTGTGCGCTGATCAAATCTTCTGGTGTACACCTCTAATATATATTTATATTCTGAGTTTCAATGCAATTCATCAAAAAATGTACAAGTTAAGTCTATATCAATTGTATTGGTTATTTCAATCAATGCGCATGCGCGCACGTGCATGTATGCGCATTCTGACCATGTCATCTTGTCTACACTATTAATATATCCTTATATTCTGAGTATCAAAGCATTTCATTAAAAAATATAAAAGTTACAGCTATATCAAGTATATTGGTCATTTTACGCTTTGCACGCGCACGCACGTGCATGCGCGTGCGCGCAAAATGACCTTCGTTCCGCAAATCTACATAACATTCCTATTAACCCTAAAAAGGTTTCACCTCAATCGGATGTGTAGTTTCGGAGATCACTCACGGACAAAAAAGTACCCAGGAAGAAAAATAATAATAATAATAATAACTAGAAACTCATTGCGAGCAATGAGAGGTCTTCCGTCCGATTCTGAAAATAAAAACAAAAATTCACTTTGAAAAAGTAATAAAAGAAATTCAGCGTGAAAGTCCAAGAAAGCTAACCATTAACCATTCACTTTTTTGGATCACTTCCTGTCACGACCGGAAGTACGGCGATACAAGATTTTCTCGCGATTTAAATAAACTGATGACTGACTATCAGACCTGAAAGTTTTAGACTTCAATCGTTTACTATTGCCAAGCAATATTGTGAGAACAAATTCTAATTTTGAGGACAGGTAATCACTCGACCGGAAGTGAATTTTATAAAAAAAAACTTTTTCAATCAAAAAGATGAAAACATACATAAAACTCCTAGAAGACTCTCTATTAACACTGTAAATCCCAGAAAAAAATATTGAAAAACAAAAAAAGTTGCAAATTTAACATTTTTGAATTCACTCCCGTTTGCGACCGGAAGTAAGAACGACGAAAATTAATGGTCGATCCATATATCTACATTTGATGCTCTATCACCTCAGCAAGTTTCATGCTGATATCTTTAGCCATTCTCTGATGATACTGTTTACTTTCTTTTATTCTTTATGTATTCAACTTTTTATTTCATGTAATTCCATATACAGGCATGTCCATGTAATCTTTTTCTGCACTTCTATATACTTCTGCATCAGACCATTTGGCTACTACGAAAGGTTGATCACGATTCATTATTTCGCGCGAAACGTCATGGGTAAATATTCGCGCATATCCTTTGGAATGTATTTTCTATTGAATGGTGATAGCTTCAATGAAATTTCAAAATGTATGTTCTTATAACCTGAATATCGAGCTTGAGAAAGTATACTTATCATATTGTACTTATTATATATCGTATGGATAAGTAACACTAAAGCAGTGATTTAGGTAAGATTTTCTACTAGTTTTATTTTCCTGTTTACCCTCAAAGTGGACTATCCCGATTAGTTACACATTCATGAAAAGACTGGAATGTTTCGTACAAAAACCTGTCTCGTCCTCCGACGGTCAAGAAATCTAATACCATTTATGTTCAATAACAACAACTTTTAGGAAAAAAAATATTTAAATCATTTTCATTAAACAATCTTTAAAAAAAATGGTTTTCTTATTTTTGTCTTTTCTGTTCATTTAATATGACACAAGCCTGTATGGGGAAAAAAACAATGGCCACGTAATAATTACTATATATTGATTGCTTTAGTCAGGCAAGTTTCTTGAAAAGCTATTACTTATAACCATGGTTTTTCCGTGGTGTAAAACAAAAGGTTGTAGTTATCGTATTTTTACTTGTAGTCATGTCGTTTTTCTACTTTGAGATACAGACAAGAACAATTATAGTAGACGTTTGAGGAAACCCCGGATTAAAACTCTAGTTCGAAACAGAATTGCAACGTAATTGTGATGTGACAATCCAACAGTTCCTTCACATTTCTTTGATCCTTATGGAACTTTCATTCAAACAAACGCTCGGCTGACTCCATAAATTCTGACCTACTTATCGGAGTTTACGGAGACAGCCGCCATTTTGGACCCGCTTCAAATTTAGAAATGCGAATATCTAGAGTTTGGATTGATCAATTCTAAAATAAATTATATATTAAGCATTTTCAGAAGAGCCTCTATTAACCTTATTAAAATAAAAGAAAAATATAGAAAAACAAAAAAGTTTAAAAATACGACTTTTTTAAATTCGCATCCGGTAACGACCGGAAGTACTGACGACGCACAAAAAGGTGATTCCCCTCATCTAGAAGACATAACCTATCATCTCTAACAAGTCTCCAGTTCATATCTTAAACCATTTTTGAAGAAAAGGGGGGACAAAATTTCATTTTAAAATCAGAAAACTGTCAATAACTTGGCACCAGAAGCGAGTTTTCCAAATTTTCCTTCTGATGAACAAAGTCCATTTGACGACACATCATTCCTGAAAGTTTCATTTAAAACCACTGAATAGTTTTTGAGAAATCGCCTGCACAAAATTTTGGGGAAAAAAATAATAATAATAATAAGAAACAGTAGAATCACTATAAGGTCTTCCGTGAAGACGGAAGACCTTAATAAGAAACAGAGTAAAAACAATATGTTCCCAAACTTCGTTTGGGGAACATAATAATGATAATTTTTGTAACATTTAAGGAATTACTGTTACTAAAATCATAAGCATGTTTATTTTTTATGAGGACTTCCTTGTGTTGAATTGTACGTGAATTCCTTTGACTTCTTTTTAATTATTTTTTTAATGTGCCAAATTAATGGGTGTGGAAACATGAGCACTGAACTACCCTTGATGAAGTAGAAAATACAGGTTCTGGTAGAGAATTAATATGTTCTTGTGTCCTTCTTTGTTGAATAAAAACACAGTTGGTGTATGACGGACCTGAAAGTGATAAAACAGCCCAGCAAAACAGGTTTTTACAACAAAATTAATAAAGTTGTGACATGTGTTTTTGACTTAAAATTGACGCCAAATAACATCGACATTTTTCAAATGTCATACCTCTAATTAATTATTTATCTCTTGAAGCGAAAAAGTACTGCAGTGAAAAACATCTTGAAACTCGTTTTCTGTGCGTCTGAATTCCTCACTTGTCTTAGGTTATGTACGTAAACCATTTCAATTTATCATTGCTGATAGTAACTTTTTAAAAATGTTAATAAAAGAAATTTAAGGCCTAGAATCCAAACAAGGTTTTTAAAAGTTCTCCGTGAAATAAGAGCTAAAGGGAATTTTAATTGTAAGTATAATTGTTTTATAGTAAAATTATAGTAAATTTGTTTATTGTCCCTTTTTGAGATATGTGTGAAATTTAATGCACTCTGACCTAATAATATAGGAAAGTATTTCGCAAAACAGTAATTAATTTTTCAGAAAAAGAAAACAGAATGAAGCTGACCTTACTATTCTTTTTTCTGTTAGGTAAGTGGATATTTTAGATGAACATTTTCATCTGTAGTATTCTTTTTCTTTCTTTTCTTTTTTTTTTTTTTAAGATTTTGCTTTGTTTTTCAATTTCAATCGTGTTACTTTAAACCGTGAAAATTAGTGTTGCTACACTCCCACCTATGGTGGGAACTTAATGATAAGAACTCATGGTTTTCTTTCTTCTGTTAAAATTAATTCTGTGTTAAGGTAGAATCATGTACACAAAACGTTATATATGTGTATACTTCTTTTTGATTTTATTAGTTTTAACCACTGTATAATATTTTTTTCACACAGGATTTAAACTTGCAGAATCCGGATGTGAGTATATCAATAGTTGTAGATTTCAATCACATTTTAACGAATAAATCTGCTTTATATCATCCAGACAGTAAAGTTCCTTGACGTTATCTTTTGCAAGATAAAATTTCCCAAAACAACAGAAGAAATGAAACATCAAAGTATATAATTTGCTTGTTTGTTATGGTACAGGTCAGTTTGGCGAAATTGAATACGCAGGATATCCAGTTTCTCCTTTCCCAATCAGAAAGACTATTGTGTTTGACAGACCGTTTGCAGAGCGACCTGCCTTTATTTACGGAATTAAAATGTTGGATGTCAACTTTGCTGAAAACACTAGGGCTGTTGTGGAACTGGATCACTTAAATAATACCCAGTTTACCCTAATATTGAGTACATTTCACGACACAAAGATGTACGGGCTTGGCGCGACTTGGATGGCATGTCCTTGATATAGACATGACTCAAGTTTTGATATGAAGTCGTACAATACCTCGGAAACATTCTAAAGTGTTTAGCAATGCATTTTAGCCATGTGTTCATCGAATGATGTTTTTTCGAAAATTCAAGTCCTATTTTGTATACAATGTATTTGTATATTTACCAGTTATTTTTGTTTATAAAGATATCTATGATGTATATATTGATAAAAATCGCACTCTATGTTTTACAGCTATTTTACACCCACTATTTTACTCTGCAAAGGATATGGGTTTATAGGGTATTACTTCTGCCTTTTTTATTTTTTGTAAAAATACGATTATTGACTGAAATGATATCAATAAAATGATGAAATCAATTTACAGTTTAATTTGACAAAATAGCAACTGACAGATAGGAAAAGTGAAATGAATATGTTACCACTGCAATCATTCAAACATGAAAAGTTTTTTTTTATCAAATATTTTTAAAAAGGACGAAAAAAAAGTACCAGACAATTAAAACAAAAGGATTCTGGTTCTAGTTATCTAGTTATTATTAGAAAAATTCAACATCATTGGGCATTGAAAAGATTTACCCGTACTGTTTGAAAGTTTTATGTAGAGGTATTAACTTATAAGGTCTTACTTTCATAAGAAGAGAGTAAATAAATGGGTTGTACAACATCATCAGTGAAACAGAACATTAACACCATGTGATTTTTTGCGGAAGGTTAGTTTTTATGGTTTCTGAATTTGCTCTCCATTTTGACTGACAAATGTTTGTTCGTTTCGATGAGTTAAAATACACAAAAATAACTTTTTAAAATCGTGGAGTGATGACCCAGAGATATATAATTTGTAGAGAAACTTAAGTAAAATGTATAAGTTTGTACCAAATGACTCATCTTGCCATATTTCAAGGCATATTTTAGCACATCAAAACACAATATTGAGAAAATATTTCCCTTTCCTATATCACAAGAACCCGTTGAGTAAAGTTGGTACGTGTATTTCCAACTTTAATCTTGGTTTTTTCAACTTTAAATGGTATCACCAACTTTAAAGTTGGAAAGGCCAACTTAAAGTTGGAATGACCAACTTTAAAAAAAAATATTACTCGGCACTTATATCCTTACATGGTACATGTATACCTTAACTTTTTGCATGGAGAGGGTATTGTCTGTCGTCCAATCTTTCACATTTTTCTGAATAAATATTGTTCAAAACTTGCAAAGAACCACATTTTTATCAAACATTTTAATATTTTATTGTTACTAAATTTATTTTTGTAAATGATGTTCTGTCCATACTTAACGCATTGTTTTGACTTCTTTGTAACTAGAGCTGTCGACGTCGCCAATCTGCATTAAAATGAACTTAATTCCCGTTTTAGCAAGACAGTTCTACTTTGCTTTCTACGTGTGTTATTATGCAAAATTGTTTCGGCCAACAAGTAGGTGAACCGAATCATCTAATAATTCGAGCCTAAAAGTGTTATAAAACTAGTGATTTTTCTTTGCAGTTTCTGCTGGAATGCCCTATTGATATTCACGTGGAGGAAAGAACCCCTCCTCCTTAATCATTTACATACATATATGTTTTGTTTGTTTGTTTTGTTTTTGAAAAAAAGCAATCTTTTCATGAGGAGTTATTCCTGATAATTGTTTTTTTTAATTTTTTTTTTTTGAACGAATTGAATTAAAAGGTCGTGTCAGTTAGCCATAAATATATTGCTTCCAAAGATTTATGCATAATGTCATTTTTTCCCCAACAGCTTACTTTAAATGCATGAATGAAATATTAGAAAATACCCACGGCCATGAAATGGGAATATGCTTGATTAATTCAAGTTATCTTTCATAAAAATTACTATATTAAGTTTAGCTTGAAAAATTCAGATCATTTTTACCATATTCAAGTATAAAAGATATGATTTTTTATTAAGATTTTTTTTAACCATATCCATATATAAGCATAAAACATATGTTTTCGATGATTTTACGTTTTAAACAAACTACAAAGTTTATTAGAAAGCATAATTAAGCGTCAATGCACAATCTCTATATTCAATCGATGTTCACTTCATCTACAAACTAGACCATCTTAAAATTGTGTTAAACACAATCTGTCGAAATAAAATAGGTCATTTATGGATTGTGTCGAGAAAATATCAATTAAACAACTCATATTGTAAAATTTGACAGAACATCCCCTCAAGACTTTTTTTTTCATAGTACATAATATGTAGGATTCCCAGTACTTCAGTGGTCCTGAAATATTTGGTAAGGTAATGTGATATTTTATTTTTTCTATTCATATTTTATCTATCTATCTATCTATCTATCTATCTATCTATCTATCTATCTATCTATCTATCTATCTATATATATATATATATATATATATATATATATATATATATATATATATATATATATATATATATATATATATATATATATTGCAAAGAGGGTGTTGCAGAAACTCGCGATTATTCCCTATATCGAGAAGGATATTTAAATACCCACGTCGCCTGAAGAGTTATGTCTAAATATAGAAAAAGCTACGTAGATGACTTTGTGTTTACGGCGAGTACCGGGGTATTTCCAGCTTGATATAGCAAAACACCTCACATTTTACGTTTATTTCATGCGTAGTTTTTCCTAAGGTAGGAACCGATTGGCGACCTTTTAGTGAACGTTAACCTTTTTATTTTTTTATTATATTTATTTTTACATGCATGTGTCACTATTGCCGTTTTGTACGAGAAAGGTTTGAACAATAAAAAGCACATGCAATGGCCAGTGCACCTTGCACAGCATTTTGAAAGATATACGGTACACAACGTCCGTGAATATTTTTTAAATAAATAAAACTGTGTCCCACAATCACAATGTTTATGCTACATCCAAGACATTCCATTTGTTTCAAATCAATTCTTGGCCACTAAATAATAGACCAAAAATGAATCAAAATGTAAAAAATAAATTATCTAAAACAATACTTTATTTTTCAAGACATCGCCTTTCAACTAAATAATAGCATTCTGTCATTAGTTTTAGGTCACATTATCAAAGAAAACAATTTAAATCTGCATGCGTTTAAAATATTACTAGTACTCATTAACTTCTTGACATTCTCTCTCTCTCTTTCCCTCGCTCTCTTAAAATAATTTATTAAAATTTTATTGCACTTCCATACATGAAAAAAGTGAAGGAAAAAAATGCAAAAAAGACCCATTCCAGGATTCGAACCCATTCTCAGGTAAAATAATTCGTTAGGAGTCCACCAGCATAACCACTAGACCATTTCAGACACTAATTATTTATGCGTTATTTTATGTACACATTTTACATTCCGTATGGATAATCATTTTTATTCAATTTTTGTGCTTTTCAAAAATATGCCTCTTTGAAACAAAAATCGGAAATGGCAGTTTTGAAGAAAATTCTTGCCTCTTTGTGCATATATCAAATTCATTCTGTTTCAAGGAGGCAATTTTTCTGAACAACGGGGATTCCCTATTAAAAAAAACATTAATGGCAAATTGGAAGTCAATATACAGCTTCCAAATATTGTTCTACATTGTGCTGTATATACCGTTTTATTACATTTTCAACAGTGAAATACTGTGATTTATTTATTAAATAAAAGTGATATTCTCTCACAGTGTGAAAGGATACCAAAATGATATTCTCTCACAGTGTGAAAAGATATCAAAGTAGGTAAAAAATAATTTCTGGCCTGTCATAAGATAGAGATAGTAACTAAGCATCTTGATAGAATTTCTTCCCAAATATGTTGCTAAAATCCATGCTATGTCATGTTCTCAATAGCACAACTGCTAAGCTATGACGTCTCAACCGCTCAACTATGACGTCAGGTCTATGACACTGTGCTATGAAAAGACAGAGGCAAAGGGAAAATCAAAGAAAATGTAATAAACAGAAAATTCAATGTTTTGTAGATGAATATGGAATTTATTTCACTCGTGAGACAGGATTTTTTGATATTTTCACTCGTGCTTCGCACTCGTGAAAATATCAAAAAATCCTGTCCCACGAGTGAAATAAATTCCATATTCATCTACAAAACATTGAATATCCTCTATGTATCTGAAAAAAATAACATTGTTTTCAGTAACTTAAAATTCTTCTTTTAATCAGCTACACATTTAGGGAAAATAACAAAAGAACTGCAACATCCTCTTACTCAGTATATGTGAAAGCATATAAACCTGAAGAAAAAATTGAAACATGAGTCATAAATTTTGTGACTTAATAATTGAAAGAAGAAGAAAATTAAGAATATACTTGAGATGTTTGAAATTATTTCTGTGGAATGATACACATGATTTTATAAAAATGAAAAGATCCATAACATTATATTTCGACAGAGTAAAATACTCGCGTATTTTTTAGGTGGTTTAACAGCATTCAATATATATATAAAACCTCATATCCCGTGTGAAAATGGGTAAGTTTCTTAAAATTCAGTTTGGTGACATCGTGAACCCTAGCCATATTTGGAAGCAAAACAATAAGTGAGCAATAGGATTACACCGTATTCAGATGCTCATTCAGAAATGGACCCAATTTTAAGCGTGGTTGTTCAGTAAGTTTTACTATAGTGGTCAAGAAGGTGTCACAAGAGGAGAAACGAATTCCTTCGATAATAAATATTCATAAAATTTTTGTTTACCAACAGAATTTTAGCATACTTATCTCGGGAGAAGTGTCGAACTAAGTGATAATTTTCGAAATTAGCGATAATTTTCTTAACAAAGTTTTTGACGAACTTGAATCATATTTAATATATCAGATACTGTATACAAAAATTATGGAACATATCATTTACGATTAAATAGTTAAATAGTAATAAATTGTATGTATATTCTTGTCATTATACAATTGCCTTGATTTCTTTTGTAGAAACATGAGGTCAAGGGGCATTTGCACAAGCTTCTGCTGTGTGATTATATTTCTCTCTATATGTAAGCAAATAACTACATTCATTCATATAGCTTTCTGTTGAAGTTCAGCATCTTAAGGGGGGTGATACTTAAGTTAAAATAAATGAATAAAGTTATTAATTTTTATTTTTCAGTTGATGTTCTTAAATTGACAACAGCAAGGTGTAAGTAGGTCTCAATGCCAAAATCTTTCTTTTTATTTTATATATATATATATATTACGGTTTGTCAAATACCTTTTCAGTATTTCCCGCTCTTTTCACAGGTGAATCTGGAGAGGTAGACATGTACCAATACCCTGACTCTCCTTTCCCAGCCAATAAGACCATAGAATTCAAGAAGCCATTTACAGCTACACCCTCGGTAATGTATGGAATAACTATGATCGACATAAACTACGCCGAGAATAAACGAGCTAAAATCGAACTTTTAGGATCCAATGAGACAGCTTTTACTGTGTGGATGGGGACGATGCACGACACAAAACTTTACGGTCTGGGCATGCGTTGGATGGCCTGTGATTAAAACGAAATGAATCAAGGAGAGACGTGTTGTGAACACTTGAACATTGGCTTAAGGCCTAGTCCTTTTTTCTTATTTTAATTTGAAATACTGAAGTTTTTTTTTTCAATTTCTTTACTTACCAAAGAATCCTCATGCCCTTCGAAAATTGTTTTTGCCAAGATCAAAACTTGCACTTAAAAATGTTGAGCTTTTCTCCCCTTTGAACAATCTCAAGAGTAAGTCTGCAACTTTGATATTCTTAAGGACACATCATACAAAATAAAAAAAAATAGATGCATGATTGGTATATATTTTTACACTTATTTTGGTGATAAATGATGCATATTTCAAATCTCTAAAATATCAAGAAATTGTAAACTTTGTATGATGTTAAAATCTCTTCCTTTTTGCAACACCCTATAAATCTATATAATTTTTTATTACATGTGTATTTTTAAAGGCATAATGAAAAAACTGTGAATGAAAAATGAAACTCTATGTAGTTAAACTTATTTATTTTACTTATAAGTATATAAACTTAGAGTTAAACTATTATTTTCATGCATTTTGAAAGAAAGTTTAAATCATCTGCTCTTACGACCATTTGGGGTGGCTTTCAATTCCCGAATTGTTTGTAATCACGAATTGAGTGATACATGTAAATAATATTGATGATCGTGAAATGTTGGCCAGGAAAGTGTATATTTTCATCAGCTAACAACTATTTATGGTATTCTTATCGTTATTTGCAGTATATACATGTATTTCATTGCTTTCATTTTATGATGTACCGTCATTAAACCAAAGCTTCTTTAATAATGATTAAGACATCCTATTCAATATTTAGCAATAAATTGAATACATCGGTGATTCGCTGAAACACAGATTTCATAAGCTGAAGCTGAACAAAATCAAGCCAAAAGTCGATACCGAAAAGAAAGGAGAAAGCAGCTTTACAACTGCACTCATACGTACTGTACTTCATAGTAAGGGTACGTTTCTGATAAAAAGTTGAATCTTTATTTGCAAAGTTGTCATATTGTTTCTACCAAAATATTAACTGATTCTGCACCAGCTATATTTTCTTTAATGAGAATAATACATTTTTCACAGAGGAGCTCTTAAGTGTTTAAAACATTTGAATTGATATTTTGCTTCAAGAATAAACAGTAAGATTGGTTCAGCTTAACATAAAAAAATAAAAAGAAAGAAAGAAAGAAATAGAAACATGACGCAAAAGCACTTTGATAGTTCCTCATAATTCATAGACTTAAAGCATTGTAAACATAAAAAATCAACAACAAAACAGGTAGGTTTACATATTATTTATATTACAGTGAAAGTATTAAAGATGAAAACGGCGCGGTTCTAATATTCAATTCATTTATTGACAACACCATCATACATGAATACAACAAACAATAACATACATAAAATCAATATAAAAAAAAATATTCCAGTAAGCATATCAGTTATGTTGAAGTTTTTCTTTTCCAATATCAAAGCACTTTTTCAGAAAATTACATACTCTTCTAGCAGTTTTAATACCGGTACTTGGAGGGTTGATCATGTCAATAATAGGGTTTCCTTCATGTAACACTGAGCATTAAATATATCACAATATTGTAATCTATACTGATCATAACTAGGACAATAAAGTACAAAATGTTTTTCATTTTCAATAAAAAGTTTACAAAAATGACATACACGTTTTTCCCTAGGAATAGGCGGCCTTGAGTATCTCCCCATTTCAATATGTAGTATATGAGCACTAATTCTTAGTTTAGTTAGGATTGTTCTTTCAGATTTCTTCAATGATAATTGTAGGTAGTTCTGTAATTTATATTCATTTAAATTTATTATATTACTATAAAAAAAATAATTTTCCAGAATCTGATTTAGAAATGTTCTTTAACTGTTCACAGATTTTGTTCCTATAGTGCTCCTCTAATTTATGTCTTAAAGTTTTATGTGATATGTCCAGTGAGGATAAAGACATTACCTGTTGTAGAGTAAAAAAGTTTTCTTTGCCAAGAAGACAAGAAGACATATAGACAAGAAGACATATAGACAAGATATACATCAGACGTAAGAATATTACGATGGCAATTAAAATAATGATATCTAATAATAATAATAATAACTAGAAACTCATTGCGAGCAATGAGAGGTCTTCCGTTCGATTCTGAAAATAAAAACGAAAATTCAAGCTGAAAAAGTGATAAAAGAAATTCAGACACTGGAGATTTAACCCTGATCGTCAGTGTGAAAATCCAAAGTGATTTCTGTGATCACGTCCTGTGACAAGCGTTAGTGACGACTGACGCGTTTAACCCAAATGGTTTCGCCTACTCCTCAAGGTTTATTACTCATAAAAGTTTGGTCTTTTAATCTTTTACCTGCTTTTGAGATCTCGCTCAGAAAATCTCTCATTTTGAGGACAGAAAAACACGCGACCGGAAGTGAATTTTTGAACGCTATTTAAGATTACCCTAGACATTTGCACTCTGAATAACATATTTAAAATTCATTTCAAATACTTAATCTATAAAGAATATATATGGGAAAGTAAAATATTCAAATTATTTAGTTTTTCTCTTATAACCGGAAGTTGTCGTTTCTGTTTCCGGTGTGACCAACATTTTTCGAATCTGCGAAAAAGATACAATAAAGTGATGCAATTTTTAATTAAAAAAAAGAAAAGTTGAAATTTTCGATTTCTTTGATCACTTCCTGTGACGACCGGAAGTGATTGCTGACGCTCTGAACTCGAATGGTTTTGTCTACATCTTAAGGTCTGTTGCTCATATAAGTTTGGTGTCTTAATCTCTTACCGTGTTCGAGATCTTGCTCAGACAACTGATAATGTGATATTCTTTGCATGTAAAATTATTTTATATATGCTTGTAGTAAAGACGCCTAAAATATTACATGGGTCTTTCAAAATGCAAGGACATTAATGACTTCTTTTAAAAAATGAGAATAGCGTAGAATTCACAAAGAAAAAAACGCTCAATGTCGTTTATAAAGATGAAAACGTAAATTAAAACTAAGAAATGAGAAAGAAAATTCAGACATAATTGGGAATAAACCCAGATCGCTTGCTTTAAAATTCAATATGGAAACCACTACACCAGCGCAATTTTACCATCCATCATCGATTTTTGTATCAATGCTTGAAGTAACAAGCGTCAAGGAGGATAAAAATCTTTATATATATATATATATATATATATATATATATATATATATATATATATATATATATATATATATATATATATATATATATATATATATATATATATATATATATATACGGCGGAATTATAGAATGCAAACTAGTTAGCCAAATTTTGTGCGAGCAGATTAACATCGGAATTCGTTAATTGAGTTTAATTAAACAATAACTGTCAGCAGAAGAAATAATCTATTACTGATGAACTGAAGATACGGTTTACTTCTTTTATTCTTTATACATATATATTCAACTTTTTATTCCATGCAATTCCATATACATGTATTTCATGTCAATGTTATCTTTTTCTGCTCTTCTTTATCAGACCATTTGTCTACTATGAAAAGGGAGGGGTGTTACAATACATTATTTCGCGCCAAACGTCACGAGCAAATCTTCGCACTTTTCTTTAAAATGTTTGTTCTATTGAATGGTTTCCATCATCATATATATTATTGTATTTATTGCATATTTTATTTATTTATTTATATTATTTATATATATTTATTGCATTTGGAGGTCAGAGTATTTATGTTTTCAAAGACAGATTATCCAGTTCCAAAATCTGTCAGATCCAATAATTCCTGTATATTTTATTGATCCTTATGCTAGTTTCGTTCAACAAGACGTTCGGCTGTCTCCGTGAACTCCGATCAGCTCGTAGGAGTTTACGGAGACGGCCGCCATTTTGACCTCGCTTCTAATTTTAACATGCAAATATCTAGAGTTTGAATTTATCAATTTTAAAACAAAATATATATTAAGTATTTTTAAAAGTGTTTCTATTAATCCTAGTAATATCAAAGAAAAATAATGAAAAACAAAAAAGTTGAAAAAATTCATTTTTGAAATTCGCTTCCGGTGGTGACCGGAAGCATCGACGACACACGAAAAATTGGTCAGAACATCTACAAGTCATGCTCTATCATCTTTGACATGTCTCCAGTTCATATCTTTAGCCGTTCTAGAGGAGATAGGAAGACAAAAATCCAATTCAAAATCAGAAAATTGGCCATTACATGGAACCGAAAGAGATCTTTTGAATTTTCTCCTCAAATGCACAAAGTTGATAATAATGTCCATTATTCCTGAAAAAATCATTGAAAACCACTGAAAAGTTTTTGAGAAAACGCGTGCACAAAATATGGAAAAATAAGAATAACAATAATAAGAAACAGTAGAATCACTATAAGGTCTTCCGTGAAAACGGAAGACCTTAATAATAAAATGAACGAGGCAACACTCAACAAAACTGTAATCTGAGAATTTTTGATGAATTTGAGTCCCTCAAAAGCAATGATGTTGGAGATGAGAAATTAGGGATAACATAGTAAATATACATCCTCAATCTGATAATTATGTCCAATAGAAATATTCCTTTACTGTAGATTTGAGATTTTTTCCCTTACGTAGAATCTAGGTATGTCAAAATGATAAAAAAAAAACTTTATTTACTTTTGATAAAAAATATCCGTATTTGATTTTTTTAATTTGCCTTTCCAAATTACTAAAACAAACTTTTAACTAAAAATGTGTTTTTTAAATGAATAAATAAAAAAAAGGACTGTTTAAGAAAACTTTAATTTAAAGTACATGTATATTTTAATGTAAAAATCATTGTAGTAGATATTTAAAAAAAAATTATTAAAAATGACTCAATACCTTCCTTAGAGATTTGCATGTGTGTGGTAGTCATATGGAAGTTAGTGCCACTCTGTAGGTGTGAAAAATATGGTGTTAGACTGGCTTACACAAATGAAATATTACAAGCACCGAAGTATACCGTTTGCCGAGTTCGTCCCCCTTTCTCTTTTTTCAATACACCAGGGCTGGTATATAAGCTCCGATTTAATCAACTTTTTGTTCATCTTAAAATTATGACTTCGTAGACAAGCAGGCCAGATTAAAGGATTAAAATATAAGGTTAGTATTTTATACATTTTGCATGCAGTGTATCTTGAGTTGTATTAATTCTTGTATTGAGAAGTTTTGGAAAAAATATGTCAAACGCTTGCTAGATTATTAATGCTTTAAATTTCTTAATTCCACATGCCACTCATAGGACGAAATAAACTATTTATAAGATATGCAAAAAAGATATATTGCAGAAGATAAAATATGAAGATAAATATTTCATATCAAATTTTAATTAATGTTCTTTACAGTTGCAAAATCTTGAAATTGTTCTTCATTTCAACGTTTCTTGAAGTTAATTTGCTATGAGATTAAAATTTGCTTTTATACCTGGATATTTTGTTGTAATAAATATTCAATTTAATTCATCTAATGGGAAATATATTTTTTTTTATAAAGAGAGAAGCAAGAACATCGTTTTGAAATATGGTGACTATTTTAAGTATAATCAGGTCTTCATTTCCAGGTAAAGAGGATAAAAGCTTTACAAAGTGTTCCTAAGTTTAACAAGTGCACTGTCGTTGCAGACTTCGTGTTTAACTTAATTACAAGTCTTGTGCATTTACGTATAAGCCAATAAAACCTAGATAAGGTAACTCAATTTTTTTTATTTCCTGTTTAATTTTTTCTTCTTTTTTTTTTTTTTTTTGAAAAAGAAATATTTTTGTCCTTCACAGCAAACTGTTCGGTATAGGTACGAAACTGAAGGCAAACACTTTAATGCCAGATATTTATATATATATATATATATATATATATATATATATATATATATATATATATATATATATATATATATATATATATATATTATAATCATTTATTTTTGAAAAGTAAAATGTGTGCTTCGTTTGTTGTGTGTGTGTGTGTGTTTTGTTTTTTTAAACATATAAATTAATGTTATATACTCGGAATAAAGATACCAAGTGGTTATTTTACCTCATGCCAAAGTTAAAATTTTTATTGCACAATGTCATAAATAATATGTACAGATATTTCTGCTAGTTCAGTTCACAGTTTCAATGACTCCACTCCATTAAACATCATGATGATGATCTTTATCATCGTTATCTTTAAAAAAAAAAATTCTGTGTACGTTCTGTTACAATACTCTTTTCGCTGCAGCAATTACGATACACATGTATAAGCTTAATGTGCTAGACATTCAAGACCATTTTAATTTGAATGACACTTACCTTTTGAATTTATGTTGATGTTTTTCTTGTTCGTAGATGATCCCATTGTTTGCCGATCTCAGACTTATTGCTGTGTTTATTTGTTGTATTGGTACGTTTTATTTATCAATTGTCCGCATTGATATTAGTAGGTTTTACCTTAAAATGCTTGTTCGGACCTTTCAACGCTATTATATAAGAATCAAAAATACACCATATCATTCAATACGATAGAAGGGTATCAAGCTTAAACAGATTTTTGTAAAGTTGTGGAAGGTTAAGACCAAATAACATTATATAATCTATCTAATCTATATTTCAAATTCAATTTTTTGTAGGTTATGCATCAACAACTTTATGTAAGTTCCTTAAAAACAAATTTGAAATGATTTTTCAATATAATAATAACTACAACTTGCTTCTTTGTTAAAAAAAAAAAACATGCATGTACAAATGTAATCACTTCTTTGCTGGAAAAAAAAAATACTCGCTTCTTTGTGTGCAACAATGTATACTTTCTTAAATCAAAAGGTCAATCAGGAGAGGTCAATTTCATGAGTTACCCAAAGTCACCATTTCCTCAGGAGAAGAGGATCAAGTTTGAACGTCCTTTCACTGAGAGACCAGTCGTTATGTATGCCATCAAGATGATAGACTCCCAGTATAACACCAATACCAGAATCAAGGTCAAACTACAATGGGTGCGTCCAGAAAGATTCTCCCTCTTCATGACGTCGGCTTACGATAGTAAACTGTTTGGCCTAGGAGTGTCCTGGATGGCTTGTCCATAACTGAGTGCTATCAGACCCCATCTCCCATTTAACACTTTCTTTAAAACGATACATCTTCATAATTTCATGTCTATTCATAATGAATCATTAGGACACACGTCATTATGTATATAATTTCATATATGTTTTGCAAATGATGTTATGGAAGAAATAAAATGCTTTCTTTACTTGTTGCCTTTTATTTCTCATGCGACGGTAGCAAATATCAAATGCTGAAGAAAAACAAATATTCTTGCTATACACATGTATTAAAAAAAAATAAAAAAAAAAATAAACGCAATAATTATAATCCTTCTTTTTAAGGATTCGTTTTACAGTTAAACACAGTGATACTAGTACTAGTTTCAGACATCAATCAGCCAAAGCTTATAATTACTAGGATCCGACACTTTAAAGAAGAACCGTTTGGTTCTGTGTCTTTTTGCAAAATGTTCCAGTTTTTGATAATTGTAGTAAAACAAAGGCATCCTAACAACCAGAATGACTTAAAAGTATTAGAATCCAACACTTTAAATGAATCCTTTGATCAATTGCTTACGTATCACAACTAATTAAAACGTTTCAGTGGTATTAATAGAACTTGTCAATTTGGTATTTCACATCGTTCAATCTGTTTTCATTTGATTTTGATCTCATAAGATTCCACCACTGTAAGCAACCATAGGAAGGGTTGTGAATATATATATTTAAGTCTAAATACTTCATCATATTGTACGTAATTCCAACATTTTATCAGTCGTTTCCTGAAATCCTTTATACATGGGTAAAACAACGTGGGGATAGTTTTTTTAACCATTTTATTTAGAAGATCCATTCTAACTGTTTGCAGAAATTGTTTCAAAGTAGAAAAAATAACAAGAGAGAAAATGTGATTTGTGATTGTAAGCAACTGACCAAAACATCATTAAGAATATGGAGATATATAATATGTTTAAGACGTCACGTTCTTATGTTGCCTTTGTTTTTAAAACCCGACATTTTTTTCTCCTCTATAAATTCACAGCAGTGATTTATCCTTTCAGAGCGCGTTTGCTCGGAGGAATCTGATACTATAAAGCTAGACAATGCCCAATTTCCTAATGAGTAAACAAGAGAAAGAAATAAAAGATATCAGTATGCGTTGGTCTATGTGTTGTACAGTACTCTTCAAGGTTTGATACGAATCATATGTCAGTTTTGAATATTTTTAATATTCCCAACAACTAAAATGAATTTGAATTTTTATATTGTATATTGCATATTTATATTGGATTCCGAAACTTCATAAAAATCCTTACAGCGGGTTCCAGTAAATGTTCTACCAAGCCTCCTTCTTTACTCCTCACTAAAATATTAACAGCAGTGAAGGGGAAACTTCAGGATACTGTGCAATACATATATTCGAGAAGTGGTGTAAATCAGATGAAGATACTTAAACATTCCAAGGAACTTTTGGAAAATTTGAAATCACAAAATTTTACCAAAATCAATAACATAAAAACTTTTCAACTTTTTATACTATCAATCCCCACGATAAATTAAAGTCCAGGCTTTTTGACATCATCGACAGCTGCTTTTTCAATAAAAATGGAACTCGTAAATTTACTTATCTTGTCATTGGTCATTTGCAAAATTATTTTGTTAAAAAACATTCTGATTGTACACACAAGTGCTCTGAAGTTGATATTAAAAAGATGCTTGAGTTTCTGATTGACAATATCTATGTGGTTTTTGGAGACCAGGTCTTCCAACAAACTGTTGGAATTCCCATTGGTACTAATTGCGCCCCGTTGTTATCAGACCTATTTTTGTATTTGTATGAAGCAGAATTTATTCAAAATCTTATACATGAGAAAAAGATATCTCTTGCTGTGGCCTTCAACTCGACATTTAGATATATCGACGACGTATTATCAATTAACAATAGTTATTTCCATTCATATGTCGACACGATATATCCCGGTGAGCTTGAGATAAAATATACCACAGAATCTGACACATCTGTATCATATTGGATATTTTACTAGAAAAAGACATAAATGGTAATCTAACAACAAAGCTTTATGATAAACATGATGACTTTAACTTTTCAATCGTCATCTTCCCTTACTTATGCAGCAATGTACCCTTATCACCTGCAGATAGTGTGTATATCTCTAAGTTGATTCGATACGCAAGAGCATGCTCTACGTATGAACAATTTCTTAAACGAGGCAAGTTATTGACAAACAAGTTGATGAAACAAGAATATCAACAGTCTCGATTAAAGTCATCATTTTGTAAGTTCTATGGTCGATACAATGACCTTGTCAGCAAATAAAATCTATCATTAAGTCAAATGTTGACTGATGTTTTTCATACTAATTGTTAGGCTATTATTTACACACAGAATTGTCGACGGAATTTTCCGTTATTTACCGATCATGACAAGGAGCACACGGCGGGTGTGACCGGTCGGCAGGGGATGCCCATGGCACCTGAACCCACCTCCGTGTTTGCTCTGCTCCCGATTTGTATTGTTTAATGGACTTTGAGCTTGAATATACTGTTCGTTATCTCCATATTTCACAAATGATTGACTTTCAGCACAAAGATTATTGCGTTTAAACGCAAAGATTATTGCGTTTAAACGCAAAAATATTATTGCGTTTAAACGCAAAAAGTATTGCGTTAAATCGCAAAAGTATTGCGTTAAATCGCAAAAGTATTGTGTTTAATCGTGATTGCGATTAAACGCCATCTTTCACGTTTAAATGCAACGCTTATTGCGATTAAATGCAATGTTTTGCGTTTAAACGCAATAAAAAAAATTCCTCTCTCTGACCTGGCCTCAACGGGCTTCCGTAGGAAGATGACCCCGAGAAACGTGTTTAAAAATGTAATATTTTGTACCAAATGACCGATCTATCCAATTTTAAGTTATTACTTTTTTTTAGCGAAACACAATATCGGGAAAACAGTTCCCTTTCCTATTTCACAGTAACCCAATACATCAAAAGAATGCTAAAATTTCAAATTCATGTGACAGATCAATGCAATTTTCGTTTTTCAAGTGCGCCCATATTCCAGTTCTCTGATTTTTGCCAGTATACAGTTAACGTACTGGCATTATTTTAATGTAAATATCGACATAGGTTGCAAAATGATTAAATGATGAATACATTTAGATGTATCTGATACAAGTACATTGTATACTGTTAAATGAAGCTTTCTTGCCATATAACCAATATGTGTGGATGTATTTATTTCTTTTTGAAAGAATTTAAAACTAGAAATATGTTCAAAGGACATGAATGCCCCGACCAGGGATCATTGATAATGCAACAATAAAGAAATGTACCTTGCTTCTTTGTTTAAAGATTATGGTAAATAAGAAATAGTGAGGACAAGGTCATAGGGAAGGGTAAGAAGATTCTGACACAGTTTAATAGCTCTCACCAATTTGTATTTTAGTGTATGAAGTTTGATGAAATAAATTCTTTGAATAGTTTCTTTAAAACTGAGTTTTAAACGCAATAAAAAGTAAAGTCAAAGGTCGTAGGAAAGGTGAAGGTTAAAAATTTGGACACAGTTTACACAATGCTCATCGATCACCAATATGTATCAGTGCATGTGTTCAGATAAAAATATTATTTTAAAAAAAGTTTCTTTGAAACTGAATTAAATGCATAAAAAAGCAAGACCAAGGTAATAAATTTTGGACACAGTTGAATAGTTCTCACCAATATGTATCAATATACATGTATGTGTCTACATAAAATATAAATTTAAAAAATGAGGTCAAGGTCATATGAAAGGTCAGTATTTAAAAAAATGATATAGTTGTATAGCTCTAACCAATATGTATCGGCATATGAAGTTTGATAAAGATAACCTGAATAGTTTCTTTGAAACTTGTGTTCCTTGAGCTAACACAAATTTAAGAAAAGTAAGATCAAGGTCATAGAGAAGGTCAAGGTCAAAAATATTTGTTGCAGTTCAACAGCTCTCACCAATATCTTTCAGTATTCAAAACATATACTAATATCTTGAAAAGTTTCTTTGATACTGAGCTAATCACAAATATGAAAAGTAAGTTTGGGGTCAACGGGAAGGTAAAAAAAAATTGATGCAGTTGAATAGCTCTCACCACTATGTATCAGCTTATGAAGTTTGATGAAAATATCCTAAATAATTTCTTTGAAACTGAGCTAAATGCATAGTGTGACGGATGTACTTGACAAACAATAGGAGTTTAATATATACATGTATGTAGTTACACAAAATACAATTCTTGTTCAAGAAGGAACATGAAAAATGACTGTTTTTCAAGATGTCTAATGCAACATTACTGCTCAAGGAAAATGACTGATTTTCGAGATGTCTAGTGCAACATTACTACTCAAGAAAAATGACTGATTTTCGAGATGTCTAGTGCAATATTACTACTCAAACATCGAAATTCGTTACAGGATGTGTGACGAAAACAAACTTACCACCGTTTTAATACTTTTATTTTTCTGTTTAATTATTATTTATATGACAGAGTGTTCATCACCCCTGTGTAAAAAAACCACAGAATGTGCTCATTTCTTCCGACAATTGCTCCTCTTTTGGTCGTGAATTTGAAGTTTAATGTATATCATGACTATGTTAGAAATAAGACACACAACAATGTCAGGTCATAAGAAAATTTATTGTGCAACATGACCCACCAATTCAGATCACGCAGAATAACGGACTACCTCTATATATTTACGCATTCTAAGACTAAATAATAAATTGGTTTTGGGATATTGGTATTAATATTGCTTTTATCTCACGTATACAGCACATTCGAGCAATTAAAGACATTAAATACGAGTAAACGAATGAATGACGTGTGTAAAAATAATGTAAAATCTGAAAAAATGGAAAGAAATGCACTTCCTTACTGCCGTTGGGATAGTAGTAATTTTGCAATACATGTAATTTATCACTTCGACGAAATAGATGAATACACAAATTATTATAACCCTTTGGAACATACATTAGTCAGTGTTAAACGATACTTAAAAGATGTTACAGAAATTTGTAAATATTTATATAGTTTATATTCTAAAACATATTTATCACAGATTTTCGCTTTTAACCATTGGAATGGAAATAAACCTAATTCAGAATTTTACTGTACAACTTCATCATCTGAATACATTTCGGGCGTGAAAAATACTCTTCTCTTTGTATTTGTAAACAGTCGTGTCGCCCAAATGGTGACAAAGGGTAAAGGTGAGAGATGCAATGCAATGAAATAGTGTTGTAAGAGACACATCAATAACTATGATAGAAGAAATCTGTCCATTGTCTTAAAAGGGTCGTAAATTATGTGGTCCATGACACGCATTAAATTCGTTTCTAATGTAAAAACATATAAAGTTAAGCTTTAAATTAATTTATTATCCTACATGATTTGTTATTTCCTTGGCAAGTTCTCTTTACCTGTCTTGTATGCTCGCATTGATACTGTTCTATATAGACACGTAGCATCGATTTTAAAGATGGGCAACCAGAAAAAATAATTGACAACAGACTTAAAAAAAAATTTGACACGCCCCCCCCCCCTTCCACCAAAAAAGGGGAAATTGCCCAAGCTTCAAAAAGCTACATGTATTTCGTGGGAGGTGGGGTGTAATACATCAAAAAGAGTGTGTATGGGGGTCTGTCAGTGAAAATTATTCTAAGAAAAAAATACACCAATACCAAATAAAAGTGATTAACAGTAATATAGACCCATAGAAAGCAATTACTGCTTGTGGTTGGGACACAATCTAACATTTTCAGTTTGGGATGGGATAACAAAAATCCCTTGACAAACAAACCAAAAAAAGTCGTTCAGATTCAATTATTGTGGGGCACATTCATAAAGTAGCTCCCCAACCCCGTTTCCTACGAGTCTGTAACATAGGCACTCCCCAGCTTAATTTTTTAAAAAATATTTATATTTATTACATTTTCAATAGTGAAATACTGTGATTTATTTATTGAATAAAAGCGATATCCTTTCACAGTATGAAAGGATACCGAAATGATATACTGTCACAGTGTGAAAGGATATCGAAGTAAGAAAACATGATTTCTGGTCTGTCATAAGATAGAGATAGTAACTAAGCCATCTTGATAGAGACTAAAACTGTAAATTTCCTCCCAAATATATTGCCTAAGTCCATTTTACCATAGACCTATCTCACAATATGCTAAGCTATGCTATCCGCTCAACTATGACGTCACAGCCTATAACACTGTGTTAAGAAAAGACAGAGGCAAAGAGAAATCAAAGAAAATGTAATATTCTCGTGAGACAGGTTTTCCTGATATTTTCTCTTGAAAATATCAAAAAACCCTGTCCCACTCGTGAAATAAATTCCATACCCAACAATAAAACATTGAATATATGTATCCTCTAGCCTACTATATATCTATCTATCTACTATACTATAAACATAGCTTTTGGGGTTGGATGGGGGTGGGTAATCAAACAAAATTTCTTTGAACAAGCCCCCCCCCCCCCAAAAAATCTCATCAGGTTATCATTAAGGGGGCATAATTGTTTATTAACTATGTTGTTTAATATGTTGGCAAAATTATTTAAAAAAGGGGAGGGATCTTGTGACCCTGGTTCCTATGGCATGTTATAATATCATTTATCACATTTTTACCCCCTTTATCCCTGGATATCGATCTTTGGATATTTTTTTCATATCCCACTGCTGTGACATCCCAATGGGCTTGTGTGAAAGTGATGAAGTAAAATAACGTAGAATCATATATAAAAACAGTGTAAAACATTAATAGTGATGTATAAAACGTGATAAAAAGAAGCTCCCATGATTTGTGGTTGGATTTGATTTTTATCCAACTTGTGTGTTTTTATCCCATTGCCAAGGCTCAGGAATAAAAAAAAAACAGAAAACTCATTGGATAAAAACCATATCCAACCACAAATCATGAGAGATCCTATATTTATTCCTTATATACTCTATGATGGTATATCTCTTTTTTATTTTCATGGTCTCTAAGCAGGGACTAAGATCTGATAAATTCAGAATTTTGGTTGAAAACAGACATTCAGATGCAAAATGCTTACAATGACGAAAATAAATAGAGGATATTCAATGTTTTATAGATGAATATGGAATTTATTTCACGAGTGGGACAGGATTTTTTTTTATATTTTCACGAGTGCAAAGCACGAGTGAAAATATCAAAAAATCCTGTCTCACGAGTGAAATAAATTCCATATTCATCTACAAAACATTGAATTTTCTGTTTATTACATTTTTTTTGGATTTTCCCTTTGCCTCTGTCTTTTCTTAACAAAGTGTCATAGGCTTGACGTCATAGTTGAGCGGTTGAGATGTTATAGCTTACCAGTTGCGAGATTAAAAACATTACATAGCGTAGATTTTAGCAACATATTTGGGAAGAAATTTGCAGTTTTAGCTCTATCAAGATGGTCAGTTACTAACTCTATCTTATGACAGGCCAGAAATTATTTTTTACTTACTTTGATATCCTTTCACACTGTGAGAGAATATCATATGCATTTTGGTATCCTTTCACACTGTGAGAGAATATCACTTTCATTCAATAAATAAATCACGTAGTATTTCACTGTTGAAAATGTAATAAAGAGAGATACATCTTTAATTTCATACATACATTTTTAAATTTACACATAATAAATTCTTTATTGAAATATTACTTTAAAAAATAACAATTCCACATCCTAAAAAGATTTTTACTGCATAACAATTGTCAAAAATGAATTAGATTAAATCACAATGCTTTTAACAATACAAATGATTCATTATCAACAAAATCAAAGTCTGCATTTTTATAATCACGTAAATGCATGCAATTTCCTCTTTTAACAATATTCATCAGAGTAAATTTTAAACAAAAAAAATATTTAAATAAGATATTTTAAATCACCCTAACACTTTTTTGTATTTCATAAATTGTGTTTGTATGAATCACAGTGTGTACAATTCACCGAAAGAACAATTTTTTCCTCAGGGTTACCAGAGGGGCAGGGATTTGTTTGTAGACTCCACCCTCCAAACGAGCATTGGCTCTGCCCACCTCCTCATTGACTTTTACCAAGATACTCAGAAGGTCATATCTGAAGGTAAACAAAATTGATAGAGATGCCAGTATACTATTAAAATAACAGAAGCTGAAGAACTGAAATGCATTACTTTTAAATTGTAGTACATAACTTTCATTGTTTTTTATCATTAATAAATGAAAAATCTTATCATAATTATTTTAAATCAAAACTTCAAAACAATTTGAGTGACCTACCTGTAGGCATATTTATCCAACATTTCCACCAGTTTGTTGACAAACCAGCTTCCCTGTGACCTACTTCTGTAGGACACATACCCAGGTACAGTGGCACACCCAAGTACAAAGTCCGCCTCATCAGGGATCATCTCAGAGGTTCGGCCATTGTCCGGTTCAAGGTCGCTGTCCATCTCAATGTCAATACCTGAACGAAAAGGTATAGAACAGGTGAAAACAGGTATTCATGGAATTGCAAATATTACTGTACATTTAATTACACCAAAAAATTTAAACATTTATCCTTTCCTAGATTCATTAGAGTCTGTAAAAGCTAAGACAAGAATCTACCTCCTTGTTTCTCCCTTCCTTGACATGCCTGAATAAAAAACAACTTGGGTTTTCCAGCCAGACTTGGACACTTCCCAGATCGGAATATTCCTGTCAACTCTGATATTCTGACCAGCCTGCCATTAGTGCCATAAATATTCTGCAGGACACCATGTGACAAAATACAACATACAAAACAGTCATACTGAGAATGATCTTCAAAGGACACCTCAACAAGTCTCCGGTTCATTGCATAATCCTCCAAGTTATCATAACGTTCCACATGGAAGTCCAACTTACGGAAAATATATGTTAATTTATCTGTAAATTATAAAGATTTCAATAAATCTTAATGCCATTAAAAATAGTTCCTCCCATTTATGCTTATATGTGGAATTTTTAATTCTCAGTAAAAAGGGTCATTTTCAAAAATGTATATATCAGATAATAGCTAGAATATGAACCTGCATCCAGATCTGTGCCTGTTCTGTCTGGCATCTCTTTGCTTTCTGGGTCATTTGGCACTTTAAAAAATTTCATGTTGTTGATTATCAAAGCAATACCTACAAAGGTGAAATAGATTATACAATACATTACTATAATGAGAAGTGTTGTTACCAAATAAACAAAAAAAAAAAGAAAAAAAAAAGAAATCAGAGAAATAGGAAATCCACTAGTAGAAACAGTATGTTAAAATATTCATTTCCTCTGCAAATATTATAATCCCTGAATGTATTATTTAAATAGCATTGCTTTAGTTATAAAAGACAAGAAGGGGTTAAAAGAACCTAGCATAAATGGTTGGGCACAATTAAAGGATTCTCTTGAAATATAAAGATGAATTGTCAGGTTTTACCTCTTGGTTTTCTGTCCATTCGGTATGATGGAAGATCCATCTCATCATCAATGTGTGTTCTCCTCATCATCTGGTCCAAATTCTCTACATTACCTTGAAACATAATAGTACCAACAATTTATAGAAATTTCTCATAAGATAAGGAAAAAATAGATTAAAATCAAGAAAGTAAATCAGTTCCTGGAAACATTCTCTATAGAATTCTAATGAACAAATTCAAAATTTACTATAAATCATAAATCTGTGATGAAGTAAATATAACAAATTGAACACAAAACAAACACACCCCTCATACTTCTCTCTGATTGAGCACTGTTGTTTTCTGAAGGAGGGGGATGTAACTCTGCAGGCTGTACCCTGGCCTCAGCTGTCATATGGAAATAAAACATCTATTATATACACACATTTTATTATCTCTCCCCCCCCCCCCCCCCCCCCAAAAAAAAAAAAAACAAAAAAACCCCAAAAACAAATGAAGAACTGAAAAATTAATACTGCTGTCACTTAATCCTTAGTTTAATGTTATGAATAAAAGGGCAGCATTACTTAATTTTCAAAATGGAGCAAAAATTGATTTTGGTCCAACAATATGAAAATAACAGATACTAAGCTGTCTCTGATGCAAACATTCTCGTGCAACTTTTAAAATGAAGCTACTCATACTCTTGTAGAATAAAGACAATTATCTATAAAGACAATTACAGTTTCTGTTCAGTAAAAATTATAAGCACTTACTGTTTGATACTGATAGATTCTTTTCTTCACCATAGTCTCTGATGAGCTGGTTGCTGTGGGGAAGAATCAACATGGAGGTCTGTGTCTCTATCTCGGACATGTTTGGCCTCAGGGCCTGGATATCAGGAAGAGGCTCTGGGGCAGGGTGTCTCAATGACTGGGGAATTTCTCCTGCTGGAGGTTGATACAAAGAACGCAAGTCTGTTGGAGCTATAAATAAGCACATTCATAATGCACATCTTATTAACAGTAATTTATCTTAAGATTTGAGATTGCTCTTCTTAATTTTATTTTTTAATCTAAATACATCATGTACATGTATCTTGTTGCTTTTGCTAACAATTCAGGTGTGTCAGATTTAAAATATCATGTCATTGCTATTTCGAAAGAAAGACCACTATCAAAATTATCTAACTGTTTAACCAGTTTAATTACTGGATGTACTTACTTGGATTAGGAATGTGTTCGTCTTCTTCTACAGTTTGCCCCAGTATTTGCAGTCCCTCTGTAATTCTAAACTTCTGCAGGACTCCTATCATAGTCACACGACAAGTCTCGTCATTCTGCATGACATCTCTCTGCCAGTACTGCAGCATCTTGTATACCTTTAATGATGTCATGACGTTATCATCATTGATTACGTCTAATATAGCTCTGTCCTCCAAACCCAGAAATGGGGCCAAGTCTTTCCAGTCTGGACTCTTGGAAATAACATCAGCAAGTCTTATCAAAAGTCCATCCGGTAATGGAGCAGCTACAAAAATTAAATAAATCAAATATATCAAAGTCAATAAAAGTTTCTCCTAGATAAACAATATTATAATGTATTGCTAAAACAATTCAAAGATAATTCATCAGCTTACCCATGGCCGGTGTGGTGCCTTGTCCCATTGGTGGCAGCTGAGGTGGTGGATGAAAATGTGGTCCTTCTGAGGGTTCCACTTCCATCTGTGTGGGGCCAGTGATCTTGGATGGGCTATTTCTCTTACCTATCAAGTTACTATAAATATTACAATGGCATATACTGGGTACTTCTAAACAAGCATGTACAATTAAATAGTAACAGTGAAAAAACAGCATAAATAGCCATATTTTAGTGAATTTAAGAAAGACACAAATGAGCAAAAAAGACTTTAATAAAATTCTAGAATAATTTTCAAATCTCCTTTAAAAGTAACTTCATGCTCAGAAGAAATAATTGTAATTTACGACTAAGTATGTAGACAGAATTACTGAGCTCTGTTCATTCTTACTTTGACTGGAGAGGTATCTGTTGACTTTTGGAATTAGGTCAGCCCTGTCAATGACTTTGAGCACTTTCAGTAAAACATCAACTTTTAAATGGGACATTTCATCTTTTTTCTCCAAAAACAGAAACAAATCAAATATGGACTTCATTTTAGAAAGCTGTCCTTTAGGAACAAGTGATGTCAAAGCAAACATCACAGAACCAAATTCTTCATCATCGATGTCCTCACCAATCTCAAACAGCAGCACTCTAAAGTAAAAACAGATTTTTCCATAACTTTTCTTTAAAGTTTTTTTTTTGGTTTTGTTTTTGTAGAAATATGATCATTATCCAAGACTAATACAGAGACATTGCATTGATTTTTACTAGCCTACCTACATAATGTAAAATAGTTGTTATCAACACATGATCAAGTAAAAGATTGTTTGTTATTTGTTTCAAATAAATTTTTTTTTACAATTCTGACATCAAGGTCAGTTATGACTTTATGAGACAACAGATAGAAAAAATCCTCCATAACGTGTCCCCACAAAGTTAAAAAACTTTTTCAAGTGCAAGTAAATGATACATGCATTACAGCTATAATTTCAAAACTATACCCTAGTAGAGGATAGTTTAATACCTGAAAGGTGATAAGAATTTGTTAGATTCCATGTAACTGACTTCTTTTCTGTGTATTTCTTCTTGTAGTCTCTGCAATCTTTGTTCCACCATTGCAGTATCCCTTGCCATTTTCTTGAGTAAATCTTTCCTGTGAATTCTATACAAACACTCCTCTAATAGCTCCAGATCCCCATCCTCAATGTCTATCACACCTGTGTTCTGCAGTTCATTAAATAAATCAAGACCTCTTTGAGCCTTCTGCAGCTTGGAGTCAGGGACAATACCTCTGAGTAAGAATTTGAGGTTTTCCACATCACTTGTATCTAATCCATTGTCCACTGTGACTAGAAATTGCCCATAGTCAAAACCCTTTTGGGGAACTGCATCTGGTACCAGTTCAGGACGATCTGTCTCTATGTCATTCATTGTAACAAGTTCTTGTATAACTCTCTTTTCACAGGTGTTCAATTTTAAATATTTTCTTCATGTAATACATCCAATATGAAACTGTAACTTCTCTTGTTTTATAGGATTACTGAAAAGTTAGATAGTGAAGAGGTCTTCAGATACCCTTATTACACTACTACTTCATAATATTATTATTCAATTCCTAGCATAAAATATAAGATATATGGTTTTGAGCACATTAATTCTGTTATAAAAATCATATGAAACACATGTAAGTAATGGTAGCTAAGATACAGCTGATCTTAATCTTTTAATAACTCCTAACATTAATTACTTTGACCAAAATTTAGAAATTTTGTGCCTTTGGTCCAGGATACAGTCTTTCATATTCTATCAGCTACATACGTAGGCTGAGTAGCTATACAGTAACATCTAGTGGGGCCATGGTTGTCAAATAAACATATTCTATTCTGTATCAGAGTATATTGTTATGTATTTCCTCCTATCCCTGGTTATGGTTTTAACTGAGGTTTTCTGTTATTGGAGAGAAAAGTACATGTACACTCTCTCTTTCTGAACAGTAGCTTTAAAAAGTTTTCTACATATCGATGTGAAATTACGTTAAAAAAAAGTTGTTACATGAATGTCAACCTACTCAGAGCTTCTGAGACATATGAAAGAAATTCATAGATCTAACGTTATGTTTCCTGACAGCTTCGTTCGACGGAGCGTTATTCGTTAAAAGCAGCATCACACCCTTGAAACATGAATGGCTTCTAATATGACTCTGTTATACTTAAAATATGGTATCAGAATCTAAAACTCACCATTTTGTTGGACATATTCATATCTATAAAAAGATAAACTTTCCTAAAATTTTCAGTGCACTGTTAGGGCCCAGTGGGGATTTCCATGGTTTGTACTATTTTTAGTAACAGAAATTGACAAGTCGTTCGCTTATTTTCTATGAAAATCATATCAGTCCTGAAAATTTCGTTTGATTAAATGGAATATAAGATCAAACAATATTACTTAGGAAAAAATTCAACAATTTTATTTCAAAAGGATTTTGTCTGATATTATTGTAGCTGATGTGATGTAGATCATATTCTACGAATCAATCTTCCTTTCAGAGTTGTCGTTCGTACCGCTTAGGGAATGGAACGAACAGTTTGTAAAAATGTTACAGTCTTAAACATGTTTTTGCTATCTCTGGGTCACCTCTCCACAATTTTAAAACATTATTTTAGTGCGTTATACTTCAAAGAAACGGTCAAACATTCGCAAAAAATGGAGAGTTCTAAGATCTAGAGACCATAAAAAACGAACTCAAGTTGACTTTACCAAAAAAAAAAAAAAAAAAAAAAAAATCCTATAGTGTAAATCCATTGCTTCATTGTGGTTTTAAAATCCATATATTTTTCATGTAGCGATGATAGCTCAGTAGCATTCTGCAGCTTTTGGGTTCTATCCTCGAGTTGGGCGCTTTTAAAAGTTATTTCTGAAACTTCAATATAATTGCTATAATTATGAAACTGTATATAGTTTAACTTTCCAATGTGCACTAAAACGCGTTATTTTGTTTTTTTTGTTGTTGACATTTTTCTTCTTTTCCTATATTAATAGCCTATGGTTCAAGTATTTTATACTAAAAAAATCTTAAGACATTTCTCTAATTATTTACTCTTTACTCGCCTCAGAAATTCTTGAAATTGGCTTCATAAGCCTCGAAGAGCGAAGTGAATTAATTTCTTTTGGATCAATGAAAGACATTGATATCTGTACTTCTTAACTTTCAGAGGTTAGTGAAAGCGTTTAAAACAATTTATAGACAAATAAAGGGACAATTTCATTAGTAAAATGCCTTGAGATTTTTTTGTATCAAGATGAAGTAACCGATTACAGGTATGCATTTTGGAAATTAATGATTAAGGAAACAATTTTCATATTGATTGCTTGATTAATATCTAGTATAATCCACGTAACGGCGCTAACTTTGCAAGATTATCAAATCGCGAGCTCATATTTTTATATCTTGTCTATTTCAACGCATTTTGATGTAAATATTTAATATTATGAAAGTTTTCCCCTGATACTTACACATTTGTAAACTAATTTTTGGAAGGGGGGGGGGTTTACAGTAATTGATAATCACATGGAAAAAAGTTATTATTTCGTACCACGGGCCTTTATATCGGTTTAATCCGACTGACAAAACTGAGGTCATACAAAAAATATATAATTTTTTTACCCCTCGTTTTGTCACAGCTTAAAGCGATCTAGAGGCCTGTGTTGTGTATATGTTTGTCTTTTCATCACTAATTTGGGGGGTACGTTATGTTCAATTTGAAATACCTCTTAAATGAGTATGTTTGTTGTGTTATTTTAACTAAGAAGGACAGTAGTAGACATAAATGATAAATTAAATGTACCTTCGATTCCTTAGGTCGACCTGAATTGAAATAGATAAATAAATCAATGTATACATGGTCTCAGAGACATAATCCCATATCTTTAAATACATTGTTGCTGGTCCATTATACTTATGTTTAAGCTATCTGTGGTATAATGTCGGGAGTATGGACAAAAAATTAGAAGTCAACATAAAGATGAATTCAATGATATACATGTATATCTCTGTTACTTCAATTCCTTAGGGCGAGCTGAATTGAAATAGCTAATTGTATACATGGACCCATTTTAAATCTTTAAATTCATTGTTTGCTTCTCAGTTCAGGCCCGTAGGGAGCAATTTTATAAAATAAACTAATACCGCGGGTATGTTTTTTTTTTTTTTTTGTAATAAAACGTTTATTCTACTTTTTTTTTTATATATAATTTTTCCTATGGAATACGATGTAAATGTGTAGTAGAAGAATAATTTGTGAAAAAGACAGATAAAAAATATCCTTTGATGGGGGAAGGGGTGCATGTTTTTTCGGGGGCGGGGGGTCCTGTCCACAAGTACCTGTGCAACAGCGTAAGTTACTTTTTTAATCTACTGAATTACAAGTGCCAGTGTCTTTCTTAATTGAAACAGTTCATATATGTACTATCGCGAAATATTACACAAGCAAATATAGATCTTCAATTAATATATATCGACTTTCTCTGAAGATCGTATAATCGAGGTTTTATTTCAGGTCACGGTATTACGGTTGTTGCTTCATAATTCAACAATTAACTGAAGTATCCCTGATGGCGAGTAGTAATAAACTTTACATCTCACAAACAGGCGGAAGTTGCAAAAATCTTCGCAAGTGCAAATAACAATGACAGATTGTCTATGGAGCAGGATCTGATCTTGGTAATCGAAATTAATCGAGGACCGTCCTCTACGTTGACGACTACCAGTGTGGATGTATACACCAATCAATGGGCCATATCAAGTAAAACAGAAATTTGAAGCACCAGCTTATGCAAATTACCAGATGGCTGGAGAGGATGTCGTAGCAATCATCCATATGGAGGAGAGACGATGAAAAAAACATCTGATTAAGACAAGTCAATTAAGACGAAGGACCATGAGAGAACATAACGTATCAACACTGCTGCATCAAAAGAATCTGTCAAATCCCTCCAACTACCCGGAGTTGCACAGGGACATTTTCTTTTGGCAGGTAAGTGCTTCTTTAATTCCATATATAAACGTATAATTGTTACATTGTTTATATACCCCTGCCTTAACTTAGGTATAGACACGTAGATGAGATTACTTCTTTGCGTCGATCACTTTATTTATTCATGATCATATCAATCAACCTTTCCTTTGAGAACGGTATGATGGATTGTCTTCCACCATCTACAACTATCTTTTTGTTAATCTATTTATGAATATTTCATTTCAATGATATAATTTTTAACAAGAGAATAAAAATTCTTAACTTTTATGACAGTATTAGACTTTTCATCAGATGTTTTAATTTATTCTTTCGTTGCAAAATAATAGTATCTAATTTGACAAAATTGAATTGCTACAAAAACGTGATACAATTTTCCATACAAAAGTTCAATCGACGGAATACAATTAGGTTTACACTCATCAAGCATATAAGCTTATTGATGGATTGTCTTTTTTTCCCTTTAATTTTCCCGTCGAAAAATTGATTCTTCAGGACAACCACTTTAAAATCAGAAAGGTAACACATCTCTACATCAGGCCTATTACACCAAACAGGCTTGAGTTTTCTCTATACCTACATGTATAAAAGAAAAAAAAGAAGGTTTTTACTCATACGAAAAAACAATTAAGTAGTTTTATTTCATGCATTGCGATGAAAACGCCTATCATTGTTGTTCCATGTTCAAAGATTGGAAATTGAATTTTTAGAAACAAAGTATAAAATTAAAGGAAAAAAAAAACTGGAGGAAATAATGCTTTGGTTAAATTTCCAAGCTCTTACGTGTAGTCAGCCTACAAAATCATTAAAACCCCTTGCAGGAAAATGACTCCAAAAAATTAAAATTAGGATCATTGTCGTAGAATTTGATCATAGACCTTCAGTAATTCAAAATAATCAATGCAAACAATTTGATTCTGTTGATATTGTCTTCGCAAATGCCTCACTGATCCTTTGAGGTTATGGATAAGCGATAAATTAGTATTAATGATTACACGGAGTAGTGATCAGACGGTTTTAATTACTTGTAATGAAACTGTACATAGTTACGTATGTAACATAGTTTCTTGCAATTTCGCTCTTCACGGCTATCAAATGGCCATCGAAGACATTCTCATACTCAATGGATTCCTTTAGCGTGGAGACTAGATAAGGATATTATTGACGACAGGAAGGTATTTTATCGATGAAAAGTTAATGCTACAATAAAGATGTCATTAAGACATGGGATCTGGATTCCTTTCCATTTCTTGTGCTTGCATACAAATGGTACAAGAAGCACTGCGCGTTCTCTAGAATCAGAAACGATCTCTGCAATTGTTATAATCAAAATTAATTCCAAACAAGGTCTGCATACCAGTTAATTGGATTTTGTTAGGATTTCATGAACAGACGGAATATTTGAGAAAGAAAAATTAGTTCATCTTTAAATTAAACAAAAAAATGTTCTTTTCGCTTGATAATGCAGGGATAACATGGTTGCGACATTGTAGGAAAAAATACGTAAGCTGGTTATGTTAATTTTTTCTGCATGATTGCAACCATTAATCTCTACAAAGTAACAAAGAAAGACATTTTATTGTTTCTTTCTGTATAAATTATTTGTATAAATCTGGTGAAAGTACTAATACGGAAATTTTCCTGTTATCTATATTATTGGTGCGTACGTTACATTGATGGATTAGCCAGTTTCACAAGAAATCTTTTAAACAGATGGCTGTAAAAACTGGTTCTAAATTTTTTATTGTTGATAATGGAAGCATATAAGTATCAAGTTGGAATTTTCCTCTCCTTAAAATTCCAATTTAAAGTTAGCGTTTCCAACGTTAAAGTTGGAGTTCCAACTTAAAAGTTGGCTTTTCTAGCTTCAAAGTTGGCTTTTCCTAATTAAAAGTTTGTAATTCCAACTTAACAATTGATAATTCTAACTTTAAAGTTGATTTTTGCAATATTAATGTTGGCTTTTCCAACTACAAATAGGTAATTCCAACTGTAATGTTTGCTTTTCCAACTTTAAACTAGGCTTTCCCATCTTCACAGTTTGTAGTCCTAACTTTGAAATTGACTTTTCCAACTTAAAAGTTGGTAATTCCAACTTTATAGTTTGCTTTTTTCAGTTTTAATAATTTGAATTAAAGCATGTTAAAGTTCACGAATAAAATGAGTGAAGTTGAAATAAAAAATTCATACGGAAGATAGAAGTTGGAAAAGCCAACTTTAAAATTAGAAAAGCCAAGATTAAAGATGAAAAAACTAACTTTAAATCTTGAAAGTAGGAAAAGCAAAGATAAAAGTTGAAAAAGACAACTTTAAAGTTGAAATTACCGATTTAAGAGTTGGAGATGACAAGATTAAAGTTGGAAAAAATCAACTTTAAATCTGAAATTACCAAATCTCAAGTTGAAATTACCAACTTTAACTTGAAAAAGCCAATTTTAAAGTTGGAATTACCAACTTTTAAGTTGGAAAAGCCAAGATTAAAGTTGGAAAAGCCACCACTTAAGTTGGAATTAACAACTTTAAAGTTAAAAAAGCCAAGATTATAGCTGAAAAAGCAAACTATAGAACTTTAAAGTTAGAATTGTTGGAATGTTAAGGAGAAAAAAATCCCCACGTAGCTGTAAGAGTCTCTCGTAATTAATTGATTAAGAATGGCAATGGGTTTTCATCAAAAACAGAGGAGAAAATTTAAATATTAAGTGGATGTAAACTTTATGCAATGAACATAATTGCACATATATTTTACAAGTTATTTTACAAGTTAATATTAGTAATTTTATATAATCATTTTCACTTTTAAAATTTGGGTTTTTGTTACATGTGATGTAAATTAACTATTTGCTCAAAATCCTTACTAGCAAGAGGAGACTCGGCTAATAAATTTGCCTTATTAACTGGCACACAAATAGGTGCTATTTGTGTCCAGTTGCATATTATTGATATGGTTATATACTCGTATCTAAGTTATTTAATTAAAAGATAAGTATCATAATTGGATCGTCGAATAATTTCCAGAACAAAGTCTTTTACCCAATGTCTTTATAAACATTAATTTTTCTCCCTTGACCAATCTAACTGAAAATGGTTGCTTGTATATTTTCCATTAAAAACATATCATTCATTCATCATCACTAAGTTACCTAATTAAAAAGTAATTCAGTAGTTCCGTAAATCAAACAATAATATCGATAAGACAAAACTATCAGAAAGTTACCATAAATTATGCAAAAGAAATAATTTTCATATGCTATCAATGACATGCTCATAACCAGAAACTGTCTGATCAATCTACCTGGTATATGTTATTTCTATATTATCCCTCTTATTTACAAAATATATGGAACTGAATCTGTTTGCTTAGAAAGTACTGTGGATTTTTGGTAATCACAAACGTACTTCAAATGTACTGTATCGTAACAACAGACATATCTAGATGTCTGTTGGCGTAACAAAGGGTATAACTTATCATACAATGAAATAGTTCCCTTTGGCATAAATCAAATGTCATGAAGTGTAGACATGATATCCGGGAAATGTTAGACCTTTAAAAAACATAGTAACACGTTACAACTCATAACTCTCTATGTTAATTTTTTGCCTTCTTGCATGGATATGACTAATGCAGTACTATAAAATGGGAATTTGGGCCAGGAAACGTAATCATTATACGGAACGGATACGAAGATTTATCATATCGGATTCTGTAAAAATAAAATGTTTGATTAATGAGGGTAAAAGGGCCATCTAGTGAGAGTTGGAAAATCTTATATTTAAAGATTACCTAAGACTTCGGCTGATTTTTTTCCTCTCCAAACTTTTGATACACATTTAATCCTTTAGAATATGGATACCCGTTATTGCATGGTCGGATTACAAAACAAAATTTAACCTGTTCTACAGATGAATGATGACAGTGGGTCTGTTTTTCTCTCATTTCGTTAACAGTTTTTTTTTTGTTTTTGTTTCGTTGTACATTGTATGTCATCATAAATCGTATGACCCCCAACTTTAAACGTATAGGAAATCCCATTATATTATGCCTTAGTAATTGCCAATGACGTTTATTTACCTTGGCAGGGCCTGTTCAGTTGGGGAGGGGGGTCACTACCAAAAACAGCTGAAAGTCGTCTCGTTTGTTCTATTGTTTAGTTGTAAGTTGGCCATTGACGTTTTATTCAGATCATGCCCTTGGGGTAGGATGGGGCCACGATTGGCGGGATAGGTCAAAGATGGGAAAATATTGTACGTATATGGAACACAACATGTATTTGAATTTTCCATGAAAATAAAGAAATCTTTTAAAATCTTATGAAGAATAGCAGGGCCTAGGTGACTCAGATGAGCTTTGTAGTCAATATTACATTTGTTACGTTTGTTATATTTGCTTTAAACTTCAGTATACATTGTATAAGGACGAAATTTAAAAAATGCCACCAGAATTAGCTAAATCCTTAACCTTTGACCTTGAAGATAGTGTTAGGGTAAAGTCATAAATGCCATCTTCATGTAGATAGGTACACTAGGATAACAAATTTTGAAAAACCAAGTTTTGTATTTGAATTTGATAAACGTCTGTAATTCGTGCACTGTGACTTCGTTTAGTACATGTATCTGACTTCTAAAATAAAGTCATTATCCTCAGTGTTACGAACCGTAAAAATGTCACAGGGAGAGAGTTCAAGAATCCACGGTAGTAAAAGTCAACTACTGCTTAAGCAACTACATTTAAAAAATAACGATCAGATCCAATTTTACATCCTTCAAGCTCTTTCAGAAATTATGAAAGGCACAGCCAGCTGTCTGTGTTTGAACTTTTCAATGAATCTAGACCTATTAAGTCCTGGATCCACCCTTGTTGAATATTTCAATTTTTAACGAACCTTTTGTACTAGATCGTCAAAACTTGAGAGAGCACATTATGGACGTCCCTTTTTCTACAAGATATTTAAAAAGATATTACAATATTAATTCAATGAAATATGAAGGTAACAGACAGTAAT